GACTCACAGGGCTTGTATACAGGTAGTTCTATTGTATAGTGCTAAGATCCCGTCAGTGACAGTATATACATTATATACCTTTGAGGACAGTTTTTTAGCGTTACACTCCTCCGTGCTTTAGACAACGATTAATCTTTGAAAATAAATAATTCCTGATAGAAACAAGCAAGTACAACTAAGTTTCTGTTTTGTTTGTTGTTTAACGCCACACTCAGCAATATTCCAGCTATATGCGGTCTGTCAACAATCGAGTCTGGACAATCCACTGATCAACAGCGCGAACATCGATCTACGCAACTGGGTTACGAACACATGTGTCAACTTTCAAACCAGCGAGCCACTGACCACCCGATCCCAATGATTAGTCGCCCCTTACGACAAGCATGGGTTACTGAAGACCAATTCTAACCCGGATCTTCACGGGTCCTGTGTAAGAAAGAAGTTCCAGTGAGACTCGAGGTTTCAGAATCTGTATGTATGTCGAAATTATAAAGTTACTTAATTTAGAACTCCAGTATACCACAGTGTGGGCTGAACGGAAGGATAACGTGGTTCAGGGACTGTCAACTAACCGTTGTTCCAGACGTATATATAGATAACATCAATACACATTACCCACAAATACATGGAGGAAATAAACACTTCTTTGGGGTTCGTTTCACAAAACGATCGCAGCGCTGCGACTGTCGTAAGTCTATGTTAAAGATCACCTTAGCTGGCTACGATCGCTTTGGAAAACAGGGCCCTGGTCACCAGTCCTGTCTATGTCAAGTGTTTATATAGTGTTTGAATCAGGCTTCCAATAATTTTCAAGACGTTTCTAATTGCATTGTGAAATCACGTTTCTAATAGTTTACTGTTGCAAGCACCGTGTGTATCGAACTTGATGTGTCGAACTAACCGTTGTCTGTTGTCTCGACGTGTAAGATTCCTTATCTTGTTGAAGTTCCTTAACCTTCGACACAACAGTGTTTGACTGTTATTGTTATTGAACATTAGTTTACTGAGGGAAAGACGTTTTGCGCACAACTGTAAATACTGGCCAAAATGTGCTGGAGTAGAACAGTTACAGTAACAGTAACTAGACACAAATCCTGGTGGCCTTAGAGCAAGAGATGAACTTTTAAGTAAACTCTGAATATGGTATCGGAAAATTTGGAAATATATGCAGTTTTCTTTCGGATGTTAAAGTTACTTTATAAAGTTGTGGGATTAAGGGTGTCCCATGTGACTGCAATTCACTGTGCTGTTGCGAATAACCCTACTACAGGATCAGCTGACCACGGGTTCGAATCCCAGATTTGTCCAGATTATGATCCTGTTTGACATCACCATAAACGTCTCTACGTCTCCCCTCATGGTTGCAGTAAAATGCTATCACAGTCAGATGCAGCTTTCATTCACGTCCAGGAAGAATGTGACAATTTATCATTTAGTTGTGCAATACAACAGGCAGTGATATCTGATCTATATCACAGCGGCCTGTAATCACCAAGAATGGACAGCATTTGCAAGTGGTTGATGTTATGAGCAAAGACCTATATCGTCAGGTTATGACACATAATGGAACCAAGTTGTCTCCTCTAACGCCAAGCTTAGGTTCCCTGGAACCAGCGTTCGAAACAATCGCCGGCCCGGAGGCCCAGCGCCGGTTGTTATTGTATTGGGCCGGCAGTTTTAAATATTTGCAAGCCCTCGTGGCCTTCAGTAAATTATCTGTCGATTTTTATTTCAACTGGAATCTTTCCCATGGTTTTTTTCCTTATTAACGTTCGGGAATCATCCATGATCCATCATCGATAACTTAGTTTCACTTCCTTGTATTTCACCGGCATATAGCTGAGTGCGGTGTAAAACGCAACTCAACTCCTGGTATTTCAGCGCTTTGAGCATAGAAATATCAACATCATTCTTTAACAAATAAAAATGTCTCTCTGTGCCATAGGCTTCGCTAACTGATTTTGTAGAAACAGTGTGAAACTGTGTACAGTGTAGTCTATGTTGTTTGATTGGTTTGACTTTAACAAACTGGACCTGCAGATTTCATTCAGGGCTCGTAGCTTTTAAAGCCTGCAGACGACAGCAGGCCCTGATGGCCAACTGGCAAAATAAAGTACATGTATTGCAAACACTGCCTGGAACCTGCTCTGAACCCCACCTCCAGGTGTGATACATCAATTTCAGAGAGGAACCAGTCATGTGGTTTGTGTCTCTCTCTCCATGTGTGATAGCCACCATGGTTGCCTTAAGCATCAATATCTGAGAGTATCTGGTCACATGGTTTATCTGGCAGTGTGTGCAGCTGTCTCTCTCAATAGAACCCCCCTCACAATACAAAATGGACAGGTGTGAGTCAGGTAGGATGATACACTTTTATTGATGAACGCATTTGAATGTATCCATGGGTGGTCTGACAATAAAACACATTTAGCCAGGCCACAAATGTGTTTATTCATGATTGAGAATGAAAATTTCCTTCTTCTAACAGTCATTAATGATGCTGAAGTCAGCAAAGTCATAGATTTTTTTTATTGTGTAAGTTGTTGACAGGATAATGTTATTATCAGTTAAGTCCTTGATCACATGTCAATATGAGATAAGCCATGGTTGACATAATGTAAATGTATAGTTTCAGATGTTTGAGGCAGTACATCCAGTTTAGTCAACTTAGTTCACACTGACATTGTGTCACAATCGGCTGGTATCACATCAACGTCAGCTAGAAAATCTTTCGTGACCTTATGTCAGTGGCATCAAGGTCACTGATGATGATGATGATGTCAGTGTGAGCTAAGTAATTGTTGAAATAATGTCAACATGAGATCAGTCATTGATGACATATTGTTAATGTCAGATTACTCAGTGATGACATTATTTCAGTGTCTGTCTAGTTGTTGATGGCAAAATGTTTATGTCAGATTAGTCACTTATGGTGTTAAGTCAATGATATCTCAGAAACTGAGAACATGTCGACATTAGCTAAGTAACTGACATTATTTCTTCATTGATTTGGCTGATGTTGACATAATTTGCTCAATGTCAACCAAGTAAAGGATCACATAATGTCAACGTCATATCATACCTGACAATACCAATGTCAGCATATACATTAATGTGAACATCTCTGCAAGATGATAAATACAATGTGACCATGTGGTCTCAACAAATACAAATGTTTACATGACATGACAACCATGATTCTTGGCACACTTCAAGAGTAGCACTAGATATCCAGCCTCTTCAGGAGCTTCTTGCTGTTACAGAGACACTTCCAGTGTGAAAGACGTTCTTGTGTTCTTTCCTTGTGTAAAGAAACAAAAGAGGCAAACCTCATTAGGAATAGATGTACTTTACCCCATAATGAACCTTGTGAACACTTTTCTCAGGAATTGTGCATGGAAGTGCTGCACGAATTCAGCACATGATCCTGAGAGAATTTGCCTTCAAATGCAGTTTATATACAAACAGAAGCCACTATATACCAAGGAAACATATGCCACATACACTGTGGCAGTGTGATTACAAGGGGCAAAGGCAATCATTGATTCCCCCCAAAGTGTATTTATGCAGGGAAATCTCCTGATGAATGTTGGTGGTGTACTGCCGGCAGTTTGTCTTGAAACTCTTCAAATCCTGAATTCTTGACAACGACTGTATCTGGTATCCTTTATAATCATTCTCGGAAATCAATGAATGGAGACAATTTTTTCCTGCACTCTGCACTCAGAGGCACATCCCTGGAAACAAAGGAACATATCAAAGTGTAACAAAACACTTAGACAAGGCTCAAGCTGAGTAGAACACATGACTAGAGTAGAACACTCCACTCAAGTATGGTAGAACACTCCACTCAAACACGATAGACCACCCTACTCAAACATGATAGAACGCCCCACTCAAGTATGGTACAATACCTCACTGAAGTATGATAGAACACCCCACTCAAGTATGGTACAATACCTCACTAAAGTACGGTAGAACACCCCACTCAAGTATGGCAGAATATCCCACTCAAGTACGGTAGAACACCCCATTTAAGTATGGTAGAACACCCCACTAAAGTACGATAGAACACCCCACTAAAGTACAATAGAACACCCCACATAAGTAAGGTTGAATACCCCACTAAAGTACGGTAGAACACCCCACTCAAGTACAATAGACCATCCCACACATCACACTAAAGTACGGTAGAACACCCAAATTAAGTATGGTAGAACACCCCACTAAAGTACGATAGAACACCCCACTAAAGTACAATAGAACACCCCACATAAGTAAGGTAGAATACCCCACTAAAGTACGGTAGAACACCCCACTCAAGTACAGTAGACCATCCCACACATCACACTAGAGTACAGTAGAACACCCCAGTAAAGTACGGTAGAACACCACACAAGAGTAAGGTAGAACGCCATATATGAGTACAGTAGAACACACAATTTATGTAGAACACTACACAAGCATACAGTAGACACAGCAGCAATGAACAGATCACATAATTACAATAGAACACTCTGCTAGAGTACAATAGAAACATTACACAAGAGCAGAGATTACAGTAAAAAGCAGACAAAAGTAATCTTCACTGATATACTGTGAAGACAAGCACTGAAGGGCACTAGGTTATTGATTTTGCTTTATCCTTCATGGACAGATAAATCTCCAAGTGGATGTCAACTACACTATGGAATAAGGTTCAGTTACAACAAGCAAGTTGCAGTTGTATTCTCCAGGTAATTACGATGTCATTGTACTTTGTGTGATGCTGATGCTGTATCAATTCAAATTTATGAATGTTGAAAATATATCAAGAAGTCACTGCTGCACATTTACATTTATTTAGATAATTATGATTAAAATGAACAAAGAAAAGTCCTGGAACTCAATCTTATGGAGGAGGAAAGTGTATATTGACCATTAAATTTATCAACTGCAGGTGTTTATAGCTTTATATATCTATCTGGGCACATACAGCATGTACTGAAATATAACTTTATCATTTATCGATATATTGATATATTGAGATACTTTTGATATATATCATTATCAAAATTTCCAATCAGTGACACCCTCACTGGCAACATTCTTGTTCAATTAGAAACAATATGGTTTTAGTCGGTTGTAGTTTGTCTAATCAGAGTTACTTCCCCTGAATACTTGTTTACAGGCAATATGGCAATTGTGACATGACACTATTTATCCTTGCTTCAATCCAGCAGAGCAAACTTACATCAGATGGGTCCCAAACACATTGACAATTCTGTATATGGATGTTTTAAGGGCCGAGTGTAGTTGGTGGCGGAGAGGGGCGTCGCTAGGATATGGTGACATCTTCTGTGTGCGGCTTAACTTGAACTAGAACTCAGCTTGAAGTGCTTCCTCAACATTCTAAATATAAACCAAAAAGTTGAAAATATCCATCCATAGACACAGTACTGGGTGATGGGGAGACACAGTACTGGGAGGTGGGGAGACACGGTGCTGGGAGATGAGGAGACACAGTACTGGGAGGTGGGGAGGCACGGTGCTGGGAGATGGGGAGACACAGTACTGGGTGATGGTGAGGTGAGGGTGAGGTGAGGTGAGGTGAAATTGGGTTTAACGTCAGGTTTGAGAATATTTCAAGCCATATGACGACGTGCATGCGTGTGTATGTGTATGTGCAGCTGCTTGTACTAGCCCAGACTTAAAGCTGGTTTTATAGTGCTAGCTCACTGGAGATACCATGCCGCAGTGAAGCATGAATACCTCGACTCAGACACAGTATACTGACTCGAGCCGACCAGTCCTTGTTGTACCCATTAATGCCGAGCCAGGCAGGACCAACAAATTACCATATTTTAACGTCTTTTGGTATGACACGGTCGGGATCTAACCTCACACCTTCCGGCCTCGGTAGGACGCCTAACCACTACACCACCGGAGGCGGGTCGGGTGATGGTGAGACAAATTACAGTACTGGGAGATGGGGAGACAGTCACGGTACTGGGAGATGGGGACACAGTACAGTAATAGGAGATGGAGGAGACACAGTACAGTAATGGGAGATGGAGAGACACAGTACAGTAATGGGTGATGGGGAGACACAGTACAGTAATGGGAGATGGGGAGACACAGTACTTCGGTGATGGGGAGACACAGTACAGTAATGGGAGATGGGCAGACACAGTACAGTAATGGGTGATGGGGAGACACAGTACAGTGATGGGAGATGGGGAGACACAGTACTGGGTGATGGGGAGACATGGTACAGTACTGGGTGATGGGGAGACACAGGTACAGTACTGGGAGATGGGGAGACACAGTACAGCACCGGTGATGGGGAGACACAGTACAGTAATGGGAGATGGGGAGACACAGTACTGTACAGGGAGATGGGGAGACACAGTACAGTACTGTGAGATGGGGAGACACAGTACAGTACAGGGAGATGGGGAGACACAGTACTGTACAGGGAGATGGGGAGACACAGTACTGTACAGGGAGATGGGGAGACACAGTACAGTACAGGGAGATGGGGAGACACAGTACAGTACAGGGTGATGGGGAGACACAGTACAGTAATGGGTGATGGGGGAGACACAGTACAGTACAGGGAGATGGGAGACACAGTACAGTACTGTGAGATGGGGAGACAGTACAGTACAGGAGATGGGGAGACACAGTACTGTACAGGGGAGATGGGGAGACACAGTACTGTACAGGGAGATGGGGAGACACAGTATAGTACAGAGAGATGGGGAGACACAGTACAGTACAGGGAGATGGGAAGACACACTACAGGGTGATGGGGAGACAGGGGAGACAGTACTGGGAGATGGTGAGACAGTACTGGGAGATGGGGAGACACAGTACAGTACTGGGTGATGGAGGGCATAGTACGGGGAGATGGAGGACACAGTACTGTGTGATGGTGAGACAAATTACAGTACTGGGAGATGGTGAGACACGGTACTGGGAGATGGGGAGACACAGTACAGTACTGGGTGATGGGGAGACATGGTACTGGGAGATGGGGAGACACAGTACTGGGTGATGGTGAGACATGGTACTGGGAGATGGGGAGACACAGTACTGGGTGATGGGGAGACACAGTACTGGGTGATGGGGAGACACAGTACAGTACTGGGAGATGGGGAGACACAGTACAGGGAGATGGTGAGACACAGTACTGGGAGAAGGGAGACACCTGGTACAGGAGATGGGGAGACAAAGTACAGTACTGGGAGATGGTGAGACACGGTACTGGGAGATGGATGGGGAGACACAGTACAGTACTGGGTGATAGGGGAGACATGGTACTGGGAGATGGGGAGACACAGTACAGTACTGGGTGATGGTGAGACAGTACTGGGTGATGAGAGTGAGACAGTACTACAGGTGATGGGGAGACATGGTACTGGGAGATACAGAGGAGGAGACACAGTACTGGGTGATGAGAGACCAGACAGACACAGTACTGGGTGATGGGGAGACACGGTATTACTGGGAGATAGGGAGACACAGGTGCCGGGAGACGGGGAGACACAGCACCGGAGAGGGAGGACCAAGGAGGACCCCAGAGACACAGATGGGAGACATGGCACTGGAGATGGGATCCCACAGGACCAACTGGAGATGGACACCAGGACAGACCAAGGAGATCACCAGACCAAGGACCATGAGACAGCACCAAGGAGACCAAGGATGGAGGACACAACCGGAGGACAGACCAAGGACACAGACACAGGACCAGGATGGACACAGAGACACGAAGGAGACGGAGACACAAGGAAACACCGGAGAGACCGGAGGCACAAGGACACAGCACAAGGACACACAATGGAGACAGGAGACACACAGACACACCGGAGACACAGGCACCCGGGAGGAGAGACCAGGACACCAAGGAGACACACTGGAGACAAGACACAGCACTGAGTGAGACACTGAGCACCAAGGAGACACGAAACTGGACGGAGGAGACACAGCACCAAGGATGGAGACACAGACTGGAGCACCAGAGACAGGTGACAGAGACACAGCACAGGGAGACGGAGACACAACCAAGGACAGGGAGACACAGCACTGAGAGACCCAGGACACGAGACAGACCAAGGACAGAGACACAACTGAGGAGACACAGACCAAAGGAGACACAGACCAGAGAGACACAGAGACAAGGAGAGACACGGAGAGCACAGCACAGGGTGACGAGGACAGGACAGACCAAGGACATGAGGACAGCACCGCACCGGAGACACCGCATGTGAGCACAGGACCAAGGACACACCGGATGGGAGACACCCCACAGGAAGACGGAGACAGCAGGGTGATGGGAGACACCGGAGGAGACACAGGAGATGACCGGACACACAGGAGACTGGAGAGACAGCACAGACCAAGACAGAGCACTGGAGATGGAGGACACGGCACCAAGGATGGAGACACCGGCACAGCAGACAAGGAGACCACGGCACAGGAGACCCAGGACCAGATGGAGACACAACGGAGACAGTGGAGACACACCGAGACACAGACACGAGATGGAGACAGCACAGCACCGGAGACACACAGCACAGACAGGAGACACAGGAGATCAGGAGACACCGAGACAGGAGACAGACACACCGGAGACAGTGAGACAGCACATAACGGGAGACGGAGACACCAGAGCACAGGAGATCAGGACCAAAAGGAGATGGACACATGGCACTGGAGATGGGGAGACAGCACAGACCAAAGATGGAGACATGGCACCAAGGAGACACAGGAGACGGAGACACGGAAGGAGATGGAGGACACACAGGAGACAAGGATGATGGAGACATGGAAAGGAGACTGACCAAAGGAGACATGAAAATAGTGGAGACACACACAGGAGATGGAGACATGGTATATGGAGACAATGGTATGGTGGATGGAGACACAGGACCAAGGAGATGGAGACATGGAGGATGGAGAGACATGGAGACAAGGATGGGTAGACATGGAAGGAGGATGGAGACAACGAAGGAGGTAGACACAGATGGGGAGGACAAAATAAAGATGGGGAGACATGGAAACCAAAAAGATGGGAGACATGGAAGAAAAGGATGGGAGACACATGGTAAATAGGAGATGGAGGACACAGTAGATGGGGAGACATGGAAAATGAATATGGTAATGGGGAGACATGGAACAGGAGATGGAGACATGAACAGGAGATGGGAGACATGGAGAGATGGAAGATGGGGAGGACATGAAATGGAGATGGAGACATGGACAGGAACACTGGAGACATGGAGGAAGGGAGATAAAGACCAATGGATGGGACATGGTAAGGGTGGAGACATGGAGAGGAGATGGAAGACAAGAAGGACATGGTGGAGACATGACCAAAAGATGGGGAGACATGAGATGGAGACAGGAGATGGGGAGACATGGAAGAAAAGGATGGACAGGGTGGATGGGGAGACATGGAAAAGGACATGGATGGAAGACACAGGATGGGGAGACAAGGTGGAGACACAGTGGAAGATGGAGGACACCGAAGAATGGAGATGGTGAGGACACGGAATGGAGATGGGGAGATTGGAAATGGAAGACAGTGGAGATGGAGATGGAGGAGACAGGGTGGAGGACACAAAATGGAGAAGGTATATGGAGACAAGAAAATAGATGGAGACACAGGACAGTGGAAGGATGGGAGGACACAGAAGATGGAGGACACATGAACAGGGTGGATGGAGAGGAAATAGATGGAGACATGGACACAGAATGGATGGACACAGATGGGGGAGATGGACATGGAAGATGGAGACATGAATAGGAGATGGAGACATGGAAGGAAAAGGATGGAGACACAAAATAGGGAGATGGGGAGACATGGAGAGATGGGGAGACATGGAAAATAGGGATGGGGAGACACAGGAGGACATGGAAGACAAAAGATGGAGACAAAAGAGGGAGATTGAGACACAGAACAGGGGTGGATGGAGGACACAGTAGGAGATGGAGGAAGAATAGGATGGAGGACAACAGGACAGGGAGATGGGAGACACAGGGTGGATGGAGGACACAGAAGAGATGGGAGACAAAGAAAAGAGATGGGAGACACAGGGAGACACGTGCACAGGGATGGAGACATGACCGGGGAGGACACAAGAATGGATGGTGGAGACAGGAGACTGGACAATGGAATAGGGATGGGACATGGAGATGGAGGACATGGAATAGGGAGATGGAGGACACATGGACACAGGGTGGATGGATGGAGACCGGAAAGGTGGATGGACATGGGGAGACAGGAAGGGATGGACACAGTGGACAGGGACAACAGGGATGGAAGAATGGAACAGGAGCCGAGACACCTATGACAGGTGATGGGGAGACACACAGCACAGGGAGATGGGGGTATTACAGTGAAGAGGGGTGATGGGGGAGACAGTACAGGGAGAGATGGGGAGACACCTGTACAGGGAGATGGGGAGACACAGTACAGGGTGGATGGGGAGACACACTGCACAGGGAGATGGGAGACACAGCACAGGGTGATGGGGGACACTCCATCATGATGGGGAGACAGCACAGGGTGATGGGGAGACCATCAATAGGGAGACACACAGGAGATGGAGACACAGGAGATGGGAGACACAGTGACAGGGTGATGGGATACAGAGCACAGGGTGATGGGGGAGACACAGGGTGATGGGAGATCATCACGATGGGAGCCAGGAGACGGGGAGACACAGGGAGATGGGGAGACATGGTACAGGGTGAGACACAGAGACACAGACCAGATGGAGACATGAGACAGAGATGAGACATGAGACACAGGATGGAGACCACACAGGAGACACGGCACAGGAGACAGAGACATGGCACAGGAGAGACACACTGGAGACATGCACAAGTAATAGGGAGACATAGAAATGAGAGAGACAGAGTCATGGGAGAAAAAGGAGATAGGACACATGCAGGGTGATGGAAGGACGAAGGACACCAGATGACAGCAGTAGGAACATAGAAACATGGAATCCCACACGACCCCAGGGAGGGAGAAGGACACTTGTGGAGACGGAGAAAAATGGAAACCAAGCAGTGAGACAGACACAGCAGGAAGAATGACAATGGAGTAGTGGACACACTGGACCTGGACCACACCCACGATCCCAGGAGAGACACATACATAGATCCCAGACACAGGACAAGACACATGGACCAGGAATGACAAGAAGGAGGAAGCCACAAACAGAAAGACAGACAGACAACCCCACGAGGGAATTCCCACTGACCACAGCCTGACCCAGACAACCAGTGGATACAGGAACACACAGGGAGAATGAGACCAACTTGAACATGGACAACAGCCCAGGATCCCCACACAAAGAAACCCCACAGCATGAGGGACACAGAACCCATAACTGGACACAACCCCATGACCACAACCCAGCCACAACAGACACACACCAAGGACACACGGATAAAGAAGATGACAATGAGAGAGTGGACACAACACACCACACACAGATATGGACCCCAAGATGACTGGAGAAGACATGGACTAGAGACCAATGTGGATCCTGAGGAAACCCATGGAGGGATAAGGAATGGATCCCGACCACACAAATGGACCAACCACATGGAATAACTGCACATAAAATACTCCCAACGGATGACAATGGGGGGAGATTGCTCACAAGATGTGGTCCCATCTTTGTCTCCGACCTTGCTGCAATTTGTCTGATTCAGGGGATTTGTGGTCATACTGGTGTGCTACACAGAGGATGTTTGTGGTCAACCTGCAACCACCATAGGCGGGATTTGTCGTCTTACCTGCATCCGACACACATGGGGGCTTGTGGGCGACCCCTGCCATAGCACTCCAGTTGGACTCCTGAACCTGTGTTGTGAGAAGGTCAATGTCCCCTAGGCAGGCTGCAGACAACTTGTTCCAGGTGTGTGGGTGGCCACCTGCAGGTAAAGGTCGTCACTATGTCAAATTACCATTGCACCAAATTGAGAAAATAAGTAGGAAGGTAAATTTAACAATTTCCTTCTTCAAATTAATTTAGAAAAGATCTGAATTTACTGTTCAGTCAGAAGAACATACATTTACAACAAGAATGTGTTACCTGGCTGACTGAGAGTGAGCACCTGTCTGCGTCGTACAGGTGAAAATCTGGCCAGGTGTAGCAGATCCAGGTAACCCAGGTGCTGTAACAAACATCACATCAAACATGTTTAGTCGTCTGGAAGATAGGAGGGGATGATGTTCAGGGTATGACAATGGTCTGTTGAGATTGTGTTACAATGGGGATTATTGTGCAGAGGTACAGATAAGTTGCGTATCTGTGTAAATTACGCAAATATTTATGTGAAAACTCAATTCCTATTAAGTCTATTGCGTACAAGTACGCTTGAATTTTGGGAAATACTCAATAAATGTGATCTTACATGCGTATACACGAAAATGTTAAATCTTAGCTTGCGTACCGGTGGATAGATAAAATAACTGAGGTATATTGAGAGGTTCTATTTCAGGACATGGACTTGACAACTTGCAGTCTTTCTTATTGTTTCTCATATTACAGATCAAATATAAATAACAAACACTAACATTTAAACTTTATATATTTTTACAATTAATGGAAAATGGCAAAATACCCAATTGAGTTTGAGGGAGGAGAGTACAATTTATTTGGTTACTCAAAGGAAAATATGGATACCAAATTGAGATGAACACAAGCGAGTACATAACTCAATGACCCAAAAGGTTATCTGTAGATCTGATTGTGTGTGTTTGGATTGTGTTACAGGTAAGGATTATGGTACGTGATTAGAGGGTATTTCAGGTAAAATATTATCGCAATAAGGGCCCAGGGCCCTGGGAGTTTCCTCTCCTTGTTTACTATGTACTTGTAGCAAGGCATCTTCCCTTGTTTACTATGTACCTGCAGCACGGCATCTTCCCTTGTTTACTATGTACTTGCAGCAAGGCATCTTCCCTTGTTTACTATGTACCTGCAGCACGGCATCTTCCCTTGTTTACTATGTACTTGCAGCAAGGCATCTTCCCTTGTTTACTATGTACTTGCAGCAAGGCATCTTCCTTTGTTTACTATGTACTTGCAGCACGGCATCTTCTCTTGTTTACTATGTACTTGCAGCACAGGATCTTCCCTTGTTTACTATGTACTTGCAGCACGGCATCTTCCCTTGTTTACTATTTACCTGCAGCAAGGCATCTTCCCTTGTTTACTATGTACCTGCAGCACGGCATATTCCCTTGTTTACTATGTACCTGCAGCAAGGCATCTTCCCTTGTTTACTATGTACTTGCAGCACGGCATCTTCCCTTGTTTACTATGTACCTGCTGCGCAGCGGCATATTCCCTTGTTTACTATGTACCTGCAGCAAGGCATCTTCCCTTGTTTACTATGTACTAGCAGCACGGCATCTTCCCTTGTTTACTATGTACCTGCAGCACAGCATCTTCCCTTGTTTACTATGTACTTGCAGCAAGGCATCTTCCCTTGTTTACTATGTACTTGCAGCAAGGCATCTTCCCTTGTTTACTATGTACTTGCAGCACGGCATCTTCCCTTGTTTACTATGTACTTGCAGCACAGCATCTTCCCTTGTTTACTATGTACTTGCAGCAAGGCATCTTCCCTTGTTTACTAACGTACCTGCAGCAAGGCCTTGGGATTTACCTCCCCTTGTTTACTAAAGTACCTGCAGCAGTGCCTTGGGAGTTACCAGTTTACCTCGACTTGTTTACTAATGTACCAACAGCATGGCCTTGGGAGTTGCCTCCCCTTGCTTGCTGTGTACTCGCGATAAGGCCCCCTGGGAGGTATTTCCCCTTGTTCAGTATGTACCTGCAGTAATGCCCTGGGAGTTATCTCCTCTTGTTTATTAATGTACCTGAAGCAAGGCCTTGTTCTGACAGGAAATGGCTGACAGCAGGCTCTTGTTCTTGTAGCTGTCAAAGGCACTGTCCACTGGGAACTCCAGCCTCTGAAACCAAGACATGGGGTCAGTAATAATCATTCTACAGAGATTGCAGAGATGCAGGCACGACTGAACATTTGAGAATACTTAATTTCTTGACAGAATTTTGAATCTGTAAGATGACAACGGAGAGTAAATGAAGGAGCTATTACATGGCTCTGTTATAAGCATATACACTCTATCTCACAAACATACATAGCACAGACATTGTTTGAGGACTGATGATACAGTTAGGTAGTAGAATAGGGTACGGCGGTCCGATGACACATGGCTACACCATTCCTGGGAGCCTCCAAATAACCAATTCGACTCCCACAGCCACTAAACTGCACAAAACTAGTCCGGAAGACAAAAAGTGTCCCTACACATTTCACTGGTGGAAGTGCACTCCAATTAGAGATATACTAACAGAGATATAGAACAATGCCAGGAACCAAGCGATCGCGTGAAGCCTATGCTGAGATATGATCTGGTCGTTTGTCCCTTCGGGAAGCGAAGAGGAAGTACCACATATCGCAAGCCAGATATACACAAATCCGGGGCGGCTCCGAGACACAAACAGAGGCACAAACACAGACAACTTCCGACATGGCAGAATTCTTCGAGACCCTGCTAGAGGAGTGTCCCTGGTCTTACTTTCCGACAGAGAGAAACAAATCCTTGAGCGATCGGGATACACCTTCTACGGGCGATACCAGATCCCTCAACAGTTTCTTGAACTCTACTGCTGTGCTTTCGCCAATTTGTAGAAGACGGCAAAATAGTCGATTTTGTCTACATCTACCCGCCCAACCAATTTCTGTCTATTTTTTTTCCACATGCCCCAAACAGACATGATGTTGTTGGCTCGTGCGGAGCAAACCACGACTTTGTTGGTCGACATCTTGTCTAGGCTGGACAACGACATCGACGAACTCCAGGAGGAAATAGAAAACGTCGGGGAGGAACAAGAAGAGACCCGTCTGGATATCCAGAAGTTGGAGCAGATGCTAGAATCGGTCAACAGACAGGCCGACGAGAAGACAGAAACGACCAAAATAGTTTGCATGGCCAAATGCAGGGACCCCTTCTACATGGAGTAGAAAAAAAATATGTGTTTTTCGTATGTATTTTGCATATTGGACTAGATAGAAGCTATACCCGCTTTGTCTCTGGGAACAGCAACTCGACTTCTCGATTGTCTTTCCTATTCGAAATGGGCTAGAGGCAGATTTTGCCAAGTCTACACAGAAACGATCCACCCACCAACCGTAGATTTTCTATTCCGCCGGCGTCTCGAATCGTATATCGCATCTTGTAGCCGCAGACCGGAATCGTTTTTTTAGTCTGCAAATCGAGCAGCAGCAACAGCCTGTTGTTCCCTTCGTATTTGGCTACAGCAAACTTTTTGCATGTATAGATTCCCTCCGAAACGTCTGCGGCCTTTCAGTGTTTGTTGGATGGAGGGGCTGCCAGTTCCGTATCCTTGGGCCCGCCGTAGTTGGGCAAGGGTGTATGCCAAATATTGTTGCCCCGTGGTGGCTCTGCTTTCCCCGCTAGCTGCCGGAATATACAAGAATCTTTCTCTGGGGTGTATAGTCTATCTCTTTGTTTTTCCAGAGATCACATTTCTTGCTGCCAACGCAGTGGTCTATGGCGCTGCATTTGCACATAGAGTTGTCTGGTTCGAAGAGGGTGGGTGGGTAGTCAATGCATTGGTTGTGTCTGTCCTTGGTTTCCGAGCAGTAGCAACCGAGAACGATCCGGAGTTTGCCCGCTGCAGGTCGAAATTGGTTGGGCGGGTAGATGTAGACAAAATCGACTATTTTGCCGTCTTCTATGAATTGGCGAAAGCACAGCAAATAAAGTTCGAGAAACTGTTGAGGGATCTGGTATCGCTCGCAGAAGGTGTATCCCGATCGCTCAAGGATTTGTTTCTCTCTGTCGGAAAGCAAGACCTGGGGACACTCCTCTAGCAGGGTCTCTAAGACTTCTGCCATGTCGGAAGTTGTCTTTGTTTGTGCCTCTGTTTGTGGCTTTCGCCAATTCGTAGAAGACGGCAAAATAGTCGATTTTGTCTACATCTACCCGCCCAACCAATTTCTGTCTATTTTTTTTCCACATGCCCCAAACAGACATGATGTTGTTGGCTCGTGCGGAGCAAACCATGACTTTGTTGGTCGACATCTTGTCTAGGCTGGACAATGACATCGACGAACTCCAGGAGGAAATAGAAAACGTCGGGGAGGAACAAGAAGAGACCCGTCTGGAGCCGCCCCTGATTTGTGTATATCTCGCTCGCGATATGTGGTACTTCCTCTTCACTTCCCGAAGGGACAAACGACCAGATCATATCTCGGCATAGGCTTCATGCCATAGCTTGGTGCCTGGCATTGTTCTATATCCATACACTCAGCATATCTCTAATTGGAGTGCACTTCCTCCAGTGAAATGTGTAGGGACACTTTTTGTCTTCCAGACTAGTTTTGTGCAAAACTTTAATTTTTTTAGTGGCTGTGGGAGTCGAATTGGTTATTTGGAGGCTCCTAGGTATGGTGTACCCATGTGTCATCAGACCGCCGTTCCCTATACTACTTGATACCAAATAGATGCTGGTAATGTCTAAGTACACAGTATCTTTGCCATATGATCTACCTTCAGAAATATACTATATCCATAACAATAAATGTGCATGTACACACACAAAATAACTGGGATTCACATACACACCCAAAGGTTTCTGGCTGCCTAATGGACAAGCAAATTGTGGCATCTGACGAGAGCAGACCCACCATGTCCCCCCACCCCATGATATTTCTAAAAGCTGGCTGATACATGCCACAAAGACATATGACCAGTCATATACTACAGCAATGCAAATGATGAATATGACATATTCTGAACAGTGAGTTTTCCATGATAAGGAAACAGCCAACCAGTTCATCTGTACTCTTCAAACCAGCTTAATGAACAGATATCTAAAAAGAAAAAAAGTGTGTAGAAGTGACACTAGGCACAAAGAGAGGACAATTTGGACTGGGCTTATAAGAACTCCTAACCTCTGTGTGGTAGACTCGGTAGAGAAGAACTGAGAGACTCCAAGTGTAGTTAAGGAAGCACCCAAGCAGCAACAGCTGGATGGCGACGCCCACATCCAGGAGACCCCACACGGTGTCCAGGGGCTGAGCATCTGGGCTGAAGCACCAGTAAATACATCTGTACATGTCGTCAGGTAACATCTCATCAAGTTGTGATCAACAAAGTTCATGAGAAACTAGCCATGAGGAGTAATGTAAGTTTGTTGGGTCATGTGGTGCTATCATGGCCATTAGGCGAGAATAGACAGATAGTATACACGAATGTAGAGAATGGACACAGAAAACCCCCAAAACTGTAGACGGACAAACATACCAAGCCTTACCCACAGCGCATAAGAGTAGTTATCTGTGTCCGTTATTTCACCAATCAGTCATGATCGTTGTCATGTCATCAGTCATGATTCATTCTCTGAACATACACTACACAACACCATTTCAATACTTTGTAGGACCCTCAGGTTACCAGCAAAGACCCGTAAAATGTATTGATGGGGGACACTTTGAGCCCAACCTTGTAGATATTTGGACAGATGGATTGACGGATAGATCTGAAAATGAACTGAATAATGGCAGGGGTCAGTAAGTGTGTCTGTTGTTTGTGTCTGAGTGTATGTTGTGTATGTGAGTATGTGCATGCACGTGCGCGCATGTGCATAAAACTGTTTGTAGTTTGTGTGTGTGTTTCATTGTTGTTTGTGCTTGGCGCGCACATGTGATATATCCTTCTAGGTATTCCCTCGTCATCAATTATTTTCCTCCTGTCTTGTCCTCATGGAAACATTTCAATGAAACATTATAATAATTGTAGAAGAAAACAACATAAAACTTTTGCAAAATGGCACAACCCTACAACACAGCATCATAAAACCTTCACTTGTCTTGGGACTTGGCTACAGTAATTTCTCCTCAGATTTTCCCACCAAAAGTCAAAAGTCAAAACTCCAAGACCCCACCAGAAAACTGATTGGTTGATCTGAGACTGTTCCTACCTCAGCATGAGGTTCAAACTGTGTAGAATCCATCCTCTGGGTATGTGGCCTGGAAACAAAGGTACACATGGATCAAACATGGATGATGCCAAAAGATAATAACACCAATAGGCCACTAATACAGAGCACACTCTACACTGTAAGTGCATGAGTGATTGGCAGTGTGCGAAATAGCCGCTGGCCCGCTAGCCCGTGGATAGTAAAAATCCAGTCGGGCCAGTAAATCTCCACAGCCACCCGACTGGCTAGTGAATTTTAATGGGGTCATTTTGTAATTATATCACTCTCTCCGACTCGTTAAGTTATAATACACTTTTAAACCATGCAAAATTATGGCCTGATAAAACTGTTCATCATATTAGCAACTTAATTGTGAAACCCCTGTCTACATTCAAATTTTGGGCTAGTGAATTATTTTGTGGGCTAGTAACTTTCAGGCATAGTCAGCCCGACTGGCCAGCAAAATCTGGAAACTATTTCTCACACTGGTGATCGGTGTGCATTTCAACCGCCATCTCACACCTGTTTGTACTGGAAAGACTCAATATTTGACTAGGAGACCTGGCCCCGATTTCTCGAAACAAACTTAAGTTTTTACTCAAACTTCAAACTGAGTTTGACTATTTGAAACAGCTGAATTTTAACTCAGCTGCATTTTTATAATGAAAAAAGCCCAAACAACTTCAGTATTCTATTCACAAAACTCAAATTATCTACTATGTTTGAATTTAATATGGATTTCAGTTCATTCTGGGAAATGAGTTTTCTCAAATTTGAGTAAAAACTCTGACTTAAGTCAAAACTCAGACTTAAGTTTGTTTCGAGAAATCGGGGCCTGGCCTTCCTATAACTGACTATTGTCAAGACAATTACGGACATGGCAATGTTTTTACGAACTGCAAATTCTCATACAATCTATGCAAGATGAATAAGGATTGTGCAATGAGTTGCTTGAGTCTTGTGTGAGTTGCTGGTCCTAACCCATCCACCTCATTATATATATCTTAATTAAACCTTCTAGTTATCTTTCTTTATTCTTTCTACTAGTTACAGTGCTTGTCGTAAGAGGCAACAAACTGGATCGGGTGGTCAGGCTTGCTGACTTGGTTGACACGTGCCATCGTATCCCAATTGTGGGCTCATGCTGTTTATCACTGGATTGTCTGGTCTAGACTCGATTATTTACAGACAACAGTCATAAAGCTGGAATATTGCTGAGTGCGGCATAAAACTTAACTCACTCACTCACCAATATGTGTAGAGATAATAGAGATATAGTATATATTAGACAGGTTGTCTGCACCCAAGGGCTACAAGAAAGAATGACTCCAGTCACATGATCATCCTCAGCAGATGGCACTCTCTGTGACTGTCTATATCAACAAGAGGTGTATATCAACAAGAGGTATGTTGGGCGAGGTATTAGAAGAGGCTCAAAACTTCGTTTCAGGTTGTTTCCACCCCATGGTCCAAAGAACAAGGGAGTACATAATATGAGATAGGATAACTTTATTTCAGGTCGTTTTCAATCCACCGTCAAAAGAACAAGAGAGTGCATAATGTGAGTTAGGATAAGCTTAAAATTACTTATATACTCACCTAGTAAAAAGTATAGCAGGTAAAAGTATTTCATTTGATGGAGAGTCTCCGTGACACATCTGATAAACATAGAAGCCACCTCACTGCGGACTTGAAAAAACTTCTCCCTCTGAAAATATATATCATTTCACAAGATGAATGAGGATGAGAATGTCATGTACATTGTCTGTTAATCTCTAGGTTACACATGAGAATACAGAGTACCCGCATAAACAGTCTGTTACGTGGTCGAGATGATCTGTTTTGTTGGTAGTTATACATGGAGAAGGGGAGACAACTCTCACCTGGATGATGGGAAACTGTAGGTAGTTGAGTTGATAGAGGTGGAATTGGCAGCAGAAGTACAGCCCTGTGTACATCCCATACATAACAAACATCACATGGCATTCGTTCAGGTAGACAATGTCACTGAAAATAAACAAAAACATGTCAGAACATACAAAAACTAAGTAGGCTACATGTCAGGTTACATCAAATCCCTGCTCTTTCGTCTGCTTTCACTTTTCCTCAATAAACAGTCAGAAACGTAATGTGTACACGAGATGGCCTATCATCTCTTGTACCGTGGTACTAACTGAAAGCTGTATGACAACAACCTGTAACTATGCAAGTTGGGACAAGGAAGTCAAGTTGGTGAAAAACCAATGGGTTATGCAGACTGGCAATCATCAAAGTCACTGACCACCTGGCCGGATTCATTCTATGTCCTACACAGTTTTCTGAGGACCAATTCCTATTGGGATTCAGCATTAGGGTGGTACAGATGCCGTGCCATCACTGTTGTTTCTCTGTAGAGGCCAGGAGTAGGGTTTAACAATGATGTGATCAAGTGTTCATATCAGTTTAATGAGGCAGGATCGCCTGAGACAACTATAGTATCACTTGTTGTACTCATGAACATAGTATGGTTCACTTTGAACTAGAGAGATAATCACTGAATCATATGTCCATAGCTGTCACACAGCTAGTGCTATTCAAATTACTCAATTTCATTCTGCTACGCTTGTCATGCCCCTAAAGTTCCATTGTATTTATCCAAATACTTCCTGATGTTGAACCACATAATGTGCAATGACTCTTTCATTTCAAAATTTTCAAAGCCAAACACTGATTAGCGGTTTACCCACCCTTCGTATTCTGTATACTTGACGAATCCTGAGAATCTGTCGCCTGCATATATGGAGGAGCAGCATGAAATGACAAAGCCAGCGGCCATGTACACTGATATGTGCACCAGACACCCCGGTCTCAGCAGCCATGCCACCTTCCTCAGTCTGATGTCGGTAACATTCGGAACAACTGAAAAGCAATGGAGGACTACAGACAAGCATCCTCAAGCAGACATTGTACCACTCAGATATTGGTAACGCTAGATAAAACTAAAACAGCCACGAAGGACTACATGCATTTGTCCTCAGTCCGACATCGTAACATTTGGATATTGGTAACACTTGATACAAGTGAAACAGCCATGGAGGACTAAATACAACCTGTGTTAAATCTGCACTCCCATGTTTAATTCTACACTCAGCAATATTTCAGAAATACTTAAATATGTTTGGGTGGACCAGACAATCCAGTGATTGATAACATGAGCATTCATCTCTGCAAATGGGATACGATGACATGAATTATTCAAGTCCGAGTTTGACCCTCTGATAGTGATACCATAATGACCTCTTTTGACAGTTGTGGGTTTCTGAAGATCAGTTCTTATTGAGATGAATTTGCATTGGATGATTGGTGTGCAAATGAGTTTCGAGTTCGAGTTACCTCCCTTGTCCATCAGTTCCACAACTAGACAAGCAGAGGAACAATCACCTCACTTTATCTGAACACATGCCTATCAAACACATCTTACACAGACCACCCACATTTCAATTGTTAATTAAAAACAAAAACAAGACAAAATTAACCACTCTGGCTGTTAATTTTTGAAGGTGCTGGAGTAACTATCAATACCTGAGTAGGCCGATGCCGACAGCCAAGCGAGGCCTCCATCAGCAGCCATGATGATGCCCACAGTAGAAATGAAGTAAACAGACAGCATGGCAGAGAATGTGTCTGAAAGTAGAGGATCAGGTTCAATATCAAGTGAGTTTGTCAGCTGTAACACCTTGCTTGTATGGGCTTTGAGAGGTTCAGTCAGAAATGTTTTCTATGCTCTCTTTGGTCAAATGGAAATTTTGTGCTGCCTGTTGAATGTATGATCTAAAGCACTGGGCAATCTCTTTACCATATTTTGTTAATTGGTAGAGGTCCAACATACCTGTTATCCATGCAGGTACAGTGTCTCAACTCACCTTACCTTGGGGAGTGGTATATGGGATAGCCTAGTGGTAGCCTAGTGGTAAAAAGAGTTCACTTGGCACACGACGAGGGCCCGGGTTCGATTCCCCACATGGGTACAATGTGTGAAGCCCATTTCTGGTGTTCCCCACTGTGATATTGCTGGAATATTGCTAAAAGCGGCATAAAACTGAACTTACTCACTCAGTCAACTTACCTGTTATCCATATGAGTGTAGTAGTGACGCTATTTACCTGTTATCTTCATGAGTGGGTATAGGGGTCCTGTCTTAACCTACCTGTTATCCATGTGAGTGGATATAGGGGTCCTGTCTTAACCTACCTGTTATCCATGTGAGTGGGTATAGGGGTCCTGTCTTAACCTACCTGTTATCCATGTGAGTGGATATAGGGGTCCTGTCTTAACCTACCTGTTATCCATGTGAGTGGATATAGGGGTCCTGTCTTAACCTACCTGTTATCCATGTGAGTGGGTGTAGTGGATTGAGCTGTGCAATGAGGGCATACCCAACAGTGAGTACTGGTAGAGATAGGAGATACCACGTCATGCTGGCTGCTGTCCTCCATACATACACCTAGAAATAGGAGGAACTGTTTAAACATAGTGTCTAGATTTCACAACCTAGCATAAAGGTTTTGCCTTTTTCACATGAATACATGACATGTTTTATGGATAACACCTTCTTTTATTCTTTATATGACGTTTCAGAGCTAAATCTTGTTCCTTCCAAATGCCTTTCAAGAATTTCATGTATTTCAGTTACTAGTAGGAATTTTTGACACCCTCACCATGGTATGCAGATGATGGAACTTTCATTAGTATTCTGTGTGTAGACATTTGTAAAACTTGTCATAAAAAGACTAAACCACATAGTTTAGGTTTAAAAAAATATAAATATTAAAAAAACAGGGCACAGGAATTCTCGGCTGTACTAAAATATAATAAAAAATGTTTAACCCGTGACAAAGTAGACTGGGATTGTAAACACTGAAAAGCTGCACATTCCCATGATAGAACAACCTTGTTTGTGGTTTAATGCCCCACTCTACAATATTCCACCCATAATACGGTGACCAGACAATCCAGGGGTGGATCAAGCATCTTGGAGAAGGGGGGAGTGCACATAAATCATGAAATCCAAAGGTTAGGGGGAAATGCTCATCTGGGGATTTTGTTTCGTGGAGAAGGTGGGGAAAGATTCCTCTGGATCCGCCCCTGCAATCTAGTGGTTGATATTAAGCACACTGATCCACAGATTCAGGGATAGGAACCATTCAGTTCTTTCAATTGTCTGTTATTACCAGACTCGATTGCTAAGGGCCTAGTCTATACTTGAATCCCTCACAACAATCAGTAAAGTCGGATTCAATACTAGCCATCTGGGTAGAGATAGCATTACAATATTATCCCTGTGTCGGTGTTGTGTTAGGGTTAGGGTGATCGAATATAGCACAATGAGAAACGATCATAATTATCGTGATTACGATGCAATGTCTCATTGGTTGTAAAATGATAATACCTCCTTCAAATACCAGATGTCAATAGAGTCCATAGTGTGTAGTTAATCACAACGAGTTAGATATATCTTGAAGGTACTGATCACACCATCTGTGACTGTCACGTTTTTCGTTTTGAAGGCAGCGCCATCGGGAGTTTTAAAAACAATTCAAAGCAGCAAGAAAACGGACAAAGATTATAAGACGCGCATGGTATGTGCCATACTGTTGAGCACTATTCATGACAAAATTTAAAAGTTTGTAAGTACTTCTAATTAACCATGACATGACATGTAACGACCAATTTGTTCTAATTTTAGTTATCATAATTCGTTTCAAGGAATTGAAGACAGACTTTTTAGTGAACTCGTGAAAACAAGCACCTGTCACGCTATTGTTGTTTCGGGGCATCTGTTAATGAAACTTGATGCACCTAATAGAAGTCGCAAAATTAAGGATTCGGAAATATTTTGTTTTACAAATACAATCTGTTAGAGTAAGACCTTATTTTTCTCTGACTCTCTTCCTCTTCCGGTGAAAATACCAAGATGGCCGGCCACACAGCAGGCGATCCCCTCGAGTGCCTGAGTGTAAGTGAGGTTATAGCAACCGGCACGATCAGTTGTCAAAATCAAAATATGTCAGCATTTCCTCCAAACATTTAGAAATGCAACGGACCGATACGATTTTCTTATATGTGCACAGCAGAAATAATATCAATGATGTGGGTGTGGCTACAACGCTAAAAAAAATATAAATGCCATTGTCAGTTGTCATTCTTCAATGTCATTTCAACTGCGTGTGTTGTTTTGTGTCAGCGGCATCCCACGTTACCCATAATTATTACAAGTGACAAAAATGTTGATCAGGTGGACACAATGACAGTCTGGTATTGATAGGGATGCAACAGTAACGTTTTGAAGGCACACTTTGACACTCACTTGACTGGGCGTTGATATAAAGCATTTATTGCATGGATGTTTAGTTGTCCATTTAACAATATTAAAAAAAACCTTCCCGTTTGAATTCAAGTCTACCCTGAAATAGTTTGTGGTTTTCAGGGGAAATTTCTAATCATATCGATAGATCAAGTGAGTTATAAGGCATTATAATACCTACACAGTAGCTTACTCTAGAAAAGGTTGTATTCAGTCCCAAAATCAATCAAGATAGGAATTTATCAAGATTGTGTGTTCGCCAATCAGCAAAAGCAGGTCTTGGTGCATTGCACTTGTATATTTTGCAACACCTATGATGCTGACTTGAATGAATGATACTTGCTATTGTGTCCCCTCAGTTGCACAGTGAATTCTAAACATACTTTAAGCATGACAACAGCTGTCACATTGAAAGTGTCATGTGGTGACCGTATTGAATCCCACATGCAGAGGTATGTGGTATGTTGAATAATTGGTTCTGGAATATTTGGATTATTTATGTAACTACAACATTTGGACTTTATGTAGGACTGTTTTCCAGTGTTATTTCATATATGACATCCTTCATACTACAATCAGATAAACTTGAAAGTTTGTATCAATTAACCCAGTACCAGGGTGTTGTGTACAGAATTCAGATAAGATTTTGAATGTAGCCACCATAATTTTTTCATAATTCAGGTGATCTTCTGAGCCTTTTTCTCTTTGGTTATTATCTGGGTGATCTGGTACTGTACATATTTGTCCAGCTTAGTCATGCCAGTATCTGCTTATGGGGTTGAATTCTCATATATGATCAGTCATAAGTCAGTGCTTAATCTGTGATCTGCACTATAAGTGATCATTTGTTTCAAGTCTGAAATCTTAATTCATTGAGGACCTTAGTCATTTGCATGGCCTGGTTTTATTCTTTCCTCACCACATGAAGCTGATAGGCCTTGATATAAATGAACTACTGTTCCATGTGGCAGTATCCTTGAGTTACCCATGGAAAGAAAAGAAGTTAGAAAATTTTATTCCAGTAAGTTGTTTGAGTTAACAAAATAACTTAGTTCTATCTTTGAATGCTATGCCCGTTTGGGCACAATATTTTTAGCTTTCATACACTGATCACATTTTTTTGCAGAGATATATTTATTATCAATTGTTTTATATTTTGCTTACCAGATCCCCATTGTGTTGGAAAAGGAAGCTGAGCTTGATCAGCAGGGCAATTCTGTCTTAGACTCAGATGGCAAACCCAGGTTTCGTTGTGGCTTCCGCATTGGAGGTGGTATCGACCAGGACCACCATCAGAGTCCTCAGGGATACCCTGATAAAGTGAGTGTTACCATCAGAGTCCTCAGGGATACCCTGATAAAGTGAGTGTTACCATCAGAGTCCTCAGGGATACCCTGATAAAGTGAGTGTTACCATCAGAGTCCTCAGGGATACCCTGATAAAGTGAGTGTTACCATCAGAGTCCTCAGGGATACCCTGATAAAGTGAGTGTTACTTAGTCACACACTTAGTGATGTCCGAGATAACCTGATAAATTGAGTGTTACCCAAGGTATCTCTGAGAAACTCTAATAAATTGAGTGTTACCCAAGGTAGTTCTGAGATACTGTAATAAATTGAGTGTTACCCAAGTTAGTTCTGAGATACTGTAATAAAGTGAGTGTTACCCAAGGTAGTTCTGAGATACTGTAATAAAGTGAGTGTTACCCAAGAGTTAGTTCTGAGATACTGTAATAAATTGAGTGTTACCCAAGGTAGTTCTGAGATACTGTAATAAATCGAGTGTTACCCAAGGTGCAGTTCTGAGATACTCTAATAAAGTGTTTGAGTGTCTACCCAAGGTAGTTCTGAGATACTGTAATAAATTGAGTGTTACCCAAGTTAGTTCTGAGATACTGTAATAAATTGAGTGTTACCCAAGGTAGTTCTGAGATACTGTAATAAATTGAGTGTTACCCAAGGTAGTTCTGAGATACTGTAATAAATTGAGTGTTACCCAAGGTAGTTCTGAGAAATCAATATATTTCAGAACACATGTTAAACACTAAAAACAATACTGAAGTTATTTTGTTGTCTTATGAACATAAACCCTTTTCAAACACAAGGAAGCTTAAGCTGATACCACAAATATGAGTCCCCAGACACGAGGAGGCGATTAAGCTGCCAGGCAGTAGTCCACGTCAAAATGAGACATAATTTTAGGAACCTACCTGACTTATGATTCATATATTAAATCTATCACATTTCACAATGTCTGAAAACACTTATTAAATTTCAATTTATCATATATTATCAGCAGAATTAAAAGTTATAAACTATTTTTACCGCAATGTTATTGAAAAACAGCGATTCTCGGACACATGCTTGACTGGCGGGTCTACAATAACATTGTGAAAGAGCAAAATAACGATGTTTCCAGGAATTCATTAAATAAATTGAATAAACTAATGAATAAAATCAACAACAGCATTCATAAAAGTTGTCAAGCGTACATATAAAATTACTATTTCCATCTTTTTGTGCGATCATGTAATGCAAGTCAAGTCACTGCATCCGTAGTGACATCTCGGCTCTCGCCCGCCTCAATCTTCAAAATTTCGGACACGATGTTTAATCACGAAAATATATACATGAAGCATTTTGTCACAGGTCATAACCTAGCATACGATCACATCCAATAAGTTCCATAATTTACGTACAAGGTAGCGATTTCTTGCTTAATATGTTCAGAATAGCATTATTTTACCCAAAACTTTTGTCTAAATCTGAAGGTTTTCATTTACGAGGGGCCGGTATCCATTGCCGTAATATGATTGGCTGCCTTAGGTCCGTGTCTGATTTTGACCAATCCACGACCCTTATAGCAGACTGTGGGGAAAAGCGTCATTAGAAACCAATCTTTATCCAATAAAATCGCTTCTTACAACTGTAGAAAATACTCTTGGCAAGGGTACAGTGATATTGTTGATGTTCAGAGCTTTCGAGCGATGCCCGACATCAAACGATTAAGCCTCGCATGTTATGCATCACGAAGCTCTCGAAAGCGGAGGTATTTTCCGTTGTTATGTCATGTTACGGAGAGAAAGCCACAGATATCTCGGAAATAGGCGACCATACATATTATTTAAGAAATCTTTTTATAATAATTTTCTGATGACGTAAAAATGAAAATATAAAAAAGAAAGGCGGGCATGTTATCACATGTCACAAATGGAAAAAATGCGCCATAGTTTTTGCTTCTTTAAATTGGTTTTATCTGGGCGTTATAAATGTAAGCTTGCATTTTCATTCAAAAAAACATTTATTTAAGTTGTAGTTGTATTATTTGAATAATATTATAAAAATAAACTTCATATTTATCAACAGTAGGATTAGATCTTTTAAATGGTGTATGGGATGTAGTAGCAATAACGTTTTACAAGCTTATAATTTCCTTCATAAACATAGGCTTCATCTATGACCTCAGGGTCTCTGGGAACTCGGTGTCATGGCAGTAAATGCCTCTGGTTGACTGGTGTTGAAAGAGTTAATGTATGTGGTGGTACCAGCCCTGCTAGTCACTGTACATGCAGAACACATGCTGAACACCTTTTGTTGTCTACCATATATACCTGTGTTTGTGAGCGTAAAACTATGTGTTGTTTCAGGGCGTGTATGTGACGTATATCCATGACAGTAGTCCAGCTTCCCGATGTGGGCTACAGCTCCATGATAAACTTTTACAGGTGAGTGTATAACAGTAATTCTTAGGTTATGCAGGTGAGTGTATAACAGTAGATCTTCAGTTGTACACTACAGGTGAGTGTATAACAGTAGATCTTCAGTTGTACAGGTAAGTGAATACTATTTGATCTTCAGTTGTACTGGGGAGTGTATAACAGTAGATCTTCAGTTGCACAGGTGAGTGTACAACAGAAGATCTTCAGTTATTATACAGGTGAGTGTATAACAGTAGATCTTCAGTTGTATAACAGAAGATCTTCAGTTAATACAGGTGAGTGTATATAACAGTAGATCTTCAGTTGTACAGGTGAGTGTAAAACAGTGTATCTCCAGTTGTATAGGTGAGTGTATAACAGTAGATCTTCAGTTGTGCAGGTGAGTGTATAACAGTAGATCTTCAGTTGCACAGGTGAGTGCATAACAGTGGATCTTCAGTTGTACAGGTGAGTGTATAACAGTAGATCTTCAGTTGTACAGGTGAGTGTATAACAGTAGATCTTCAGTTGTACAGGTGAGTGTATAACAGTAGATCTTCAGTTTACAGTGGTGTATAACAGTTAGTACTGGTGAGTGTATAACAGTAGATCTTCAGTTGTACAGGTGAATGAGTAATATTTGATCTTCAGTTGTACAGGTGAGTAAATAACCACATGTGTTTAACTGTACGATAGTAGATTAAAGCATCATAGTGGATCTTCATTTCTGCAGGTGAGAGTATACGAGTAGATCTTTGCTTCTTGTTGACTACAGTTACGTAATAACTTATACAGGTGAGTTGTCTAATTGGTTAATATATATCGTTCAAGTGAACAGATGCTTAGTTTATCAAATGTATGTGTTTTTCTTTTGCATTTGATAATTACCCTAGTGTCCATTATTGTCTTATGTAGGTAAATGGCAAGGATTTCACGGTCGTCACACACAAGGAAGCCGTGGAGTGTATTCGCAAAAAAGCCTTCCTCAAAATGCTTGTGTACCGTAAAGGAGTCCCACCTCTGCAGAAGTCCCCTGGACATGTACAACCTCAGTTCCATGCCTATCAACAACAACAGCAACAACAACAGCAGCAGCAGCCACAGTTCCAAGGACAACCACAGTATCAGTACTAGTTGTAGCCATGGTAACAGGGGAGGTAATCAAACTTCATGAAACCATCCAAGATGGCAAGTCCATACTATTGTCTTAAATTACTTTTGTCACCAGTCTTTTCACTCTCTAACATGTCCATAACATAAAACCATGAAACATAAGTTTCTCTTAATTACTTTGGCCCTTTTATGACGGGCAAATATGATAAATATGTTTCCTTCCACTGTTTGCATCAGTGTATGCATATAACACTGCTATTTCCTTTCTGTTTAGCATGGTATGGTTTACATGTTTATTAGTGGGATCCATTCTTCTATAATGTTACCATTTAATAGTATTGGTCTGGAAGGCCGAACACTGAATGTCATGGTGGATACTATTTTCCTGATGCATCAAATTCTACATGCTTAATATTTTCTTTTTTTCCCAATAAATTATTGTATCTAACACAAGCCATCTGCACAAGTGATACAAAGTGCTTGTTTGGTATCTTACCTTCTCTGGGGGTGGTGGGGTAGCCTAGTGGTTTAGGCATTCGCTTGTCATGCTGAAGACCCAGGTTTGATTCCCAACATGGGCACAATGTGTGAAGCCCATTTCTGGTGTCCCCCGCCGTGATATTGCTGGAATATTGCTAAAAGCGGCGTAAAACCAAACTCATACATTCACTCTTACCTTCTCTGTAGAGTTTGTGCATCAGTAGCTGAGAATTAGGGATTGTGTTAAGGATGTTAAGGTTCACTATGTATGGACTATATCCGATCCACAGTGTGGGCTCCATATCAGGATTTCATCAACATATCATGTTTAAATATTGAAGCATATTTTAATTTATCCTGTCCACTTTGTTTTAAAACAAGTTTGTTTGGGGATTATATGGGTCCGTGAAAGTTTTTCAGCTCTTACAGGAGTTCATTAGATAACCTAATTTTGGGTGTTCTTGTTAACAATACTACCATGTGCTTGTGAATAGTTGTTGGGGAGGTAGTACATGGTGTAGCAGTATGTGGTATTGGTCATGGAAACCTACTTTGGGATATCATTTATGGGGATATAGAATAATTCAAATTGTGCATATTTTCTCTATTACCCTACCCTAGGGTGACTTTGTGAAACCTTGTTGACACTTAAATGAACTGGTGTAATCTACACATCACATATGAAAGATTTGTTTGATGTTTTTGTATATTTTACTTCTATACCAATTTTATGCTCACCACAATGTGATAGCCTTGTCAATATTCATAATATGTCATGTCTTCCTATTTGACAGGTTTTACGGTCTAAATATTAGAAATTTAGTCAAATGGATTTCAATAGATCTGTGGAATGTAGAATTTTCTAGTTTTAACTTGCTAATCATTGCCCAGTAATATCCTGGTGTAGTTTGGTACAAACATTCCTTGCAGCAATACTGTTATGCACAGTTATGTATTACAGACTTTAGTTAGATGTGTGTGAATCAATTTATTTACAGGCACTATGTGTTTTTGTCATAATATTGAGAATTAATAGGGCTTCTATCGCTTATTTAAAGTATTTTGTATCCAGGTAACAGAGTTCAGTAAGATAGAATTGATGAAATAAATGGATGATTAATGATTCCTATTTAAAATGAAGAGATGATAATTAATAATAATTTTTTTGATACTGATGTTGTGAAATGTTCACCAGGAAGGATGAATGATCTGTGTGATTATGGGCAATACTCAACCAATGTCATCGATGTCATAACTGCTTTCAGACATAAAACTCTGGAATCCAGGAGGATATGGTGCTAATCTGAGGTGAACTGATTGTACATGTGATGTCAGTACTGGAAATACAGTGTTACAATATGGTATAACTGCTATAACATTATGGTAGAACGGTAGTTTAACACCATGGTATATGACTGGAATTAATACCTTGTTGTTCTAATTACCAAATTATCTAGGATTCTTGATCTGCCGTGTTTTGGGTTCCATCTACGAACACATTTACGGGTCACTTGGGGCTTTTTCTATCACATAACTGTCACAGGGTGACAGATCTGAAATACTGTTGATAGCATTGTTTAACCTTCGCTCACCCACACCTGTTTAGTGTTTACAGTATCTATACTTATATGACGAAAACTGGATACAGTATGTAGATTTGATGTACCTTTGATGACTTCTTTGTTATAATGAGTTAAAATTGGTTACAGGGCACTCTGTAACATGTTGATAAATTTACAGGTTCACCGATATAGCTTTCTTATTACACCTTGAGTGAATCCTTCTGGTGTGATATAGGGGATATTATACCCTGTCTTGTCCCTAGTGTCATCACATGTGTCATCAGTGTGGGAGATACGGCATTGATCAAACTGTTTATGAATGAAAGGCTGGCATATAAATGTGATAGACAGCACTGGCTGTAGTCTGTGACTGATGACCTGCCTCTTCCCATTGATGTTATAACCATTATTCTGTTTATAGAAAAATATCCTTTTGGGATTTAAATGCATGATATGATTTCTAGTATTTGAATTTACTTAACTTTTCCAAGAGGCACATGTTGTCTGTTAAAACCAGATATTCAGTATTGGAAATAGTTTGTAGGGAAGTTGTATCCATTGCTTTTCTATACTGCTCATTGTTTGCTTAGATATTATTCAGTTGACAAGGAATATTGGTCTCCATGTCTTTTGTGCAAGAAATGCTCACGAGACAGGCGGTGTTCTGACAGTTGTAGTTTGTAGCGAGAGGCAGTTTGCTGAGTAGAGCTGCACTAACCATGATGGCCACAAAGGCTTCTAAGTTTGAACGCAACACATTCAATGTCTAAATAAGATAAAATATCTATTTCCTAAAGTTTGAAGATAATATCTGTGATTGTCTGTAAGTACCATTCCAAAGTACAGACACACAGCTACACCAGCATCTTGCTTACAGATATATATCTCAAGCAAACTTTGAGTCATATATACTACTCAAAAGTAGTAAAAGAACACTCAATACTTTTGTATTACTGTAGTTAATCTGTCTTGCCATGACGGATCAACAACGGTCATAGACACAATTAGTTGTCAGGAAACTTGTCATCTGCTTCATACTCGGAACACAGAAAGACATATTTATGAGTTACAATAGTGAAGAGTATGTTTATTTTCCTTGCTGAATGATTGACTAGCATTTATTACTGTATATCTCAAATATATATTTACATATTTTGCTATAGGATTGTTGCACTTCATGGTTGTTGAGCTCCACCTGAATCTCACACATGCTTGTTAGTCTGAGTGCCATGCTTGGAGCCACGATAACACAGAGTTGTCTCCCTTTGGATGAAGGTCAAAGTGGTCTGCCCCTGCATTACTGTAGGAGTCATGACTAAATTGTCTGAATAGGTGAATTCCTACTTCAGTGGTCTGAGTGAATAATTTTATTTCAAAGCTGACCATTATGTTTATGTATAAATATCATTCCAAATATTTGAATGAACTGACAAAAGTAACAGTGTAGGAATGATTGTCATGCTACAACCCATAATGTTGGACTGTGAAAATCTCCAACCTGAATTTTAAGAATGGAGAAGTGACGAAGCTGCTCCAGCGTTGCAGATCTTGGCTTAGAAGTTCGGCCAGTATTCAGGGAAGGTGGGAGTTAATTATCCACACCAATTCTGTTGTCCATGATTTTTGTAAAACTATTTCAGTTTACATCTTTATGCTCTATTTTTTACTTTCTAGCTTTGTTTGTGAATGTTCATATTGTAATTTAGATTGAGATTATTGTGATTATTCCCAATATTTATTGATGTGCATCATTGTCTAGTGCTTCTTGATCTTACAAATATACCTCATTGTATAAGCCTTTGGCCTCATACCGGAGACCGTATGTGGGTTTTTTGCCATGTTGGACAAGCTGTTAGGTCCCAGTATCCCATATCATGGTATATGACTAACATGGTGATTGGCTGGTCAAAATGGCTGATTTGTGTAGTTAGTTCTATAAGCTGACTTCAGATCTCTGAACAGTGTGGGTTTGATGGAATGTCTCATCATACTTCTGTCAGTGAAACTTTTGGGTCACAATGGCAAAAACTCTTTTGTGTTGTGCGATTCTTTTATGGCAAGACCATCTTCACGCCAACAAACGCAGAAAATATCAAGAACAATAAGCACTTCAGTTAACCTAAATATAAAAGCTTAAAGGTTTTTTTTAATCCTAAATTTGTTTTTTAAAATACAAACAAGCTTGCAAGAGGTTAAATACTGACATCCTAGCTTGTAGTCCCCTACAGTCGGTTACTGGATGTGTAAATGGTACTTCATACTTATCAGTATCTATGATATTAAATGATCATTCTCACAGTATTGATGAAGTCATTCAAACTGTATTTTCAGCTCTCATTTACATGAAGCCCAGATCTGGTGCCCCCTGCCGTGATATTGCTAAAAATGGCATAAAACCCAACTCACTCACTCACTTACTTTACATTCTGCATTGTAGGTCAGAGAGGTCAGGTTATCTTCGACTCTAAGGCTGCAACTTAGGAATCTGTTTTGGTAGAACCAGCTGAAAATCTTTAGGTGGACATGAAAATATATTGCCCAGATAGATTGGGTAGTTATACTATATTGAAATGTCTATTTTCTAAGAATGTTTTTGGTGACCAGTTACTTTGAACAATGGGTAGGCTGTTGATAGTACCATCACGTGGAAAGGTGAAACACATCACTCTAATAATGAGGATTTTTACGGTCTCCAAGTTCACATGTAAAAAAGCAGCAGCCTGTCAGGTTGTACAGGTCAATATGTTAACATTACATCTTTTCATTATCTTTTTTAAAGCCTTCCATGACATTGTGGATGATTACAAACACCGGGGATTCCATCATGTTGGTTGATGTCATGGTTATCTCCAGCCTACCATTGTTGATAAATAATGGTTCCAAAGGCCATGTTATTAGATTTTCATCCCTACCCACCTTCCTACCAAACGGCCCATCTCACGTCAGTCTATATTAGATACAAAGGTAGCGTTACGTTTTTGTGACGAATTACACAATAAAACCACATCAGACTGTGAAGGACTCGCATCCATCCAACTGGTTACAAGGATGGCTTGATCAGGTGGTGTAAATTGAAAAACAGTCAAAATTACTGTCTCAAAATTGAGACATTTGGATGAAAATCTAATAATTGTGTATCGTGGCCTTATCTTAAAGTACTGTATGCATACACTGCAGTACTTGTCCAATCACAGAACAGGATTGTCAGTATGTGTTGTAGCTGTCTACATCCTCTGTGCAAAGAACACTGTAGCTGGTGAATCTGCAGTGCTGTGGGTAGGCCTTAACATAAATGACAGATGTTGTACGAGTGTCAACACTTGATAAAAGTGCTATTATTAGAAATAATATTTTCTTTTTGACACATGTTTTGTGTACATTGATATCTAGCTAGTCAGAGCCCAGAACAAAGTGCCTCTTAGCTATTTGATTGTAGTGCCTGTGTTGTGACTTGCTGACAGTGTTATTGTATTGTCTTGCTATGTAGCCTGCTGAAATCTGCTTTTAAGCAATAAATATGTTTACATGACCACAGACCTTTGTTTCCTGTACTGTGTATATATATACTTCTTTATTTCCTCCATAAATGAAGATTTACAACAAAGAATGAATATGGATCATGTACAACAGACATAAACATTCGAAAAGGAATTAGACGGATATTTAGAGGGACAATCGCATAGTGCAGAGCGTTTATGCAGGTGGATAGACACTGCGCCCATGTGGAGAATCGAACCCAGGTCCCCGGCACAACGAGCGAACGCCCTAATCAGTGGGCCCCTTACATCCCGACGAGACAGAGGTTGTTCACTAAGTCGTCTCACTCACAGACCTGTGGAGATGCAAGTTACATGCAACTGTTCCTACTTGTAAGAAGCAACCAACTGGATTGGTGGGTTAGGCTCGCTGACTCGGTTGATGCAGGTCAGAGCATTTCTAAAGATTAGTGCTTATGATGTCAATCACCCTTTTGTCTGCTCCAGACTCGATTATTTACAGATTGTGGCATGTAACAACAAACTCACTCTGACAGATGGATAATCTCTATCAATCGATCAATATCAGTACTGCCAAATATGATTTCTTACATTGGAGGCTGATGTGGAGACTTTATTGGAGGCTAAAGGGTGTCTCCATAGTTTCTGGAACTCTGAAGATTCCCTGATGAAGGGTCCAGATTCACCCTGATCTTATACCCTGGTTGTATCAGCATCAGACCCAATTCACTGGTTTCCAAGTCTACAGTATTTTTGGCAATCTCCCAATTTCAGCTGACTTGCTGTGGTATAGCGGAATTACCTTTCAAAGTTCATTCACTGTTTGATGAAGACAAATAACAAGACATTTATACCTGAATCACAGACATTTAATGACCAACAATGCAATAGGGACCAACGTTGATGGTGGCCTTGCCCAATGATGCCAAAGGGACTACTCTGCTGGTGGCCATAGGGCCCAACACCAGTGTTAACAATGCCTTGTAATGCTAGAAGCACTTTATGGCCCAAGACAGTTGTCTATCATGTCCTGTAATGCTACAAGCACAACAGGGCCCAAGACAGTTGTCTATCATGTCCTGTAATGCTACAAGCACAACAGGGCCCAAGACAGTTGTCTATCATGTCCTGTAATGCTACAAGCACAACAGGGCCCAAGACAGTTGTCTATCATGTCCTGTAATGCTACAAGCACAACAGGGCCCAAGACAGTTGTCTATCATGTCCTGTAATGCTAGAAGCACAACAGGGCCCAATACCAGTGTCACTCATGCCATCTAATGCTAGAAGCATAATAGGGCCTATCTCTAGTATCAGCCATTCCCTGTAATGCTACATGCACTATAGAGACCAAGACAGTTGTCAATCATGGCCTGTATTGCTAAAAGCATAACAGGGCCTAACACTAGTGTCAGCCATGCCCTGTAATGCTACAAGCACTACAGAGACCAAGTCAGTTGTCAATCATGCCCTGTTGTGCTTCTAGCACCAGCCATGCCCTGTAATGTTAGAAGCACAACAGGGCCCTATACAGTTGCCCTGTAATGCTAGAAGCACTGTATGGACCAATTCTAGAGTTGACCATGCCGTATTATGCCACAAGAATATTATGTTTGGTGTTAGGCATGGCAAAATCCAGAGTGACCATTAGTTAGGGTGGCTGTGCCCATGGTTACCCCAGTCTGAAAATAAGGCACTTCTTTAAGCAAGCTTCGCCTTCTCTCCATCCTTCTTTCTGCCAGTCTGTCCTGTGCTACCAAATTATCACCTTTGACACACCGTAACCATGGCAACAGCACACAACCAGTTTACACTTTGCGTATTAAATTTACAAGTCATTTGTACAAAAATATCACCAATATGACCTAGACAAGGACAGTCAGTGAGCAGAAATAATCACAACAATTTGTAATAGCACAAAACATTTGAGGATTATTTTTCACATCTTATTTTTGATTACATGTAATGAAACTTTCTGAGCACTATACTTCAAAATATCTGGGAACAACAAACATAACAATAAACATTTTGGAACAATTTATCACTTGAATTATTTTTGATTTCCAACAGTGATCACAGCATTTGAAGAGCTCTACTTGAATACAACTACTGAATGTATAACTGCATAACAAATATTCCATGCCTTATCCCTCTAGAATAGCAGCGTTCACCTTAGCTTCAATTGTAGGGGAACATAAAATGCACAACATGTTCCATCAGCCCAAATTCTGTGATCATTACCTCACCTATGTCATTACCTACACATCCTTTCTGTAACTACAAAGACATCACAATGTTTATTTTATTGAGAACACTCATTGATCTTCAGTATTATAATTGTCTGATGTTGAAGTACATTTCAATCTTCGGGCATTCCAATCACCTTCAGCCAAAATATTAATGACCTATGTCATACCATATGATATGGTACATGCAAATTTCTTGCCTCTATCAACTGGATAAATCATTGTAAGGTTCTTGTCTTATAACACTATAAAGCATTGTAAAGTAGTTATCAGTATGTCCGAATAGTTTTGTTTTTGAGGGGATCTGGTATCCATAGTAACATGACTTACTTTGGGAATAGGCATAGTTGTATACAAATGTTGATGAGCTCACAAGGCTATTATGTACAACATATCTTAACATATGAGTGAAGAAACGATGGAACAACAGCATCCATCTGTTAGACAGACACAGTACAATAATGCTTTGTCTTAAAATCAAGTAAATTTACAGCAGTACAAGATCCAGTTTCTAAAACAACTGTTAGAAACAAATAGCCAAAGTCTAAAAAATCTCTAAAAGAAAATGTCTAACTTTGGAATGTACAGCATAAAATAAACAAATCTGACAACAAAATGAAATACTAAACATAGCACTGTAATGAAGTTACAGAGGAGCACTTTCCGCTGTGGGGTGGGGAATAGCCAGTACAATGCTAGACCTGATATGGCATCCAAGGGTAGGAGTTCTTGGACTGAGTCGTATTCACTGCAAAGAGCTATATATCCCCATACTACATGGTGTATAACCACACCGTAGCACATACATAAGCAATGACCATCAGCTGATGGGTATATTTCTGTAAAAGATGATATCTAGGCTCGCACCTAGATTAAAACACATGAGATGAAATCTACAATGCTGAGTAACTGCTTCCATAGAGACCGTATCCATTGACAACAATTTTCTCTTCTATATCACACAACAGCCAATGTTTTAACTTCCTCCCAGGAAATCTTGTATAATATAATTCATATTTGAATGCTTTGTTATTGGAACATCAAGGGCATTATAAAAAATGGAATATATTTCTCCTAATTACTTTTATCTTTCACTGTCTTTGTTTCAAAAAGAAAATCGATTTAAGTAAATGTGTGTATTCTATATACGGTATAGAGCTGCTCCTCATGTGTGACCGGCCTGTGTGTTGCATTGTGGGATGAGTGTGTTACTAGGGAGATACACACAAACCACTACCCTCATCTCACATCTGTGTAGTAACATTGCTCATCTACCAATTACATTAGCATTTGCAACAGAAACAAGAAAGTACCTCAATACCTAAGTATGATTAAAAGGATGGAAATGATAACATGAACAAATTGATCCTTGACAAAAGTCTAAAAATGTCAATAAAGGAGTACTAAGAACCCATATATTCTATAAAAAAAGTAATTAACAAAACAACTTTTGTTAACAGAATTTTGCAAATTGCATTCACCAAAATGAACAGTTAATTCTTCTTGCAGTAGTGGACTGTTAAGCATATATAAGTGGACACTCATATTCAATACTAAAACTCAAGACATCGAACAGGACATTGACTATGAGGACGAACATCACGGGGTTAATATTGCAAAACTCTTGGACGGCATCAGCAACCAAAGAAATGATGTTTACAAGTATGGATAATTCAGCAGTGCCTTAATATGAAAGGAAAATTGTTCAAGTATTTCCCTTAAAGAAAGACAATGGAAGAATCTCAAAATTCTAATAACCGGGATCCCTAATAAAATGCTTTGTAAATATTGGAAACAAATTGCTCAGTTTCAACCCATCATTTCTCTGATTGTTCACAAATGAATACATTTCTGAAACATTGACACAATGCATTAGGAATGATACATGTACATATGTCATTATGAATGTAGGCATGGAAATATGAGTGGATATCATGTGTAACATGTGGTTGTATACGCAATGTTAATGCACCCCCAGGCAACACACTGACATGTCAACAATGTGAATACATCCAATGCAATACGTGGACATGTCAACAACGTGATGTCCATGTCAACAATGTGAATACATCCCAATGCAATACGTGGACATGTCAACAATGTGAATACACCCCCATGCAATACGTGGACATCAACAATGTGAATACACCCCCATGCAAAACATACGCCTATCAACAATGTGAATATACCTCATGCTAAACATACACATACCAACAATGTGAATATACCCCATGCAATATGAGGGCATATAAACAATGTGAAAAGACCTCCATACAATACATGGATGTATTAAAAATGTGAATACACCCAATGCAATAGATGGATATGTCAACAATGTGAATACATCCCCATGAAATATCTGGAGATGTTAACAAAGTGAATACACTGTCCATGTGACACTGGATCTATGTACTATGCAAAATGTTACATGGATGGAGGGATACCACTTGCAAACAATATAAAACAAAGGGTACAAGGGAAACACTCTATATATATCACAACCATATATACACTGGCATGAAATGACTTGCAATACTGCCTACATGCTTTCTCCTCATGGGACTTCAGTGAAACAAGCTCAAGTACTCAGGTTATTGTTGTTGCTCACAGCATAGCATGAATAACATGGATATAAAATACTATGTTCTCTTCAAAACATAATAAACAAATCCCAAAAATATCTCTTCAGCATGCATAAATTTGCATATATTATGTACCTGCCAACAAAATAACATAGTGAGAGGACGGAATTGCCATCTGGTCATTCTATAATGCTTTCTGGTTACGAGAACATAAACCTCCACTCTGTCTATGTAATTTAAGTGTTTCTATTTTTCGCACAAAACAATATTAAATGAGAAGTGTCAGAATCACACAAGTTACTTTGTGATGAAATGATGACATTTTCTACAACTGAAACACTCCTATACCATGTCCGTGAAGATTTCTCAAATAACGAAATCACCCAATGAATTGGAACAATGTTTTAACGGATGAATTATGGCACATTTTTTATGTTATTGCTTATAAATTAATTATAATATTCCTCATATGTTTATTTTTCTCACTTATTTACAGACAAGGAGGGAGAAGTTTACCAAAGGTGTGTGTTAACAAAGATGCGATGGGGGCAGGGGGCGGGGATGTTTAACATTGGAGGGATGAGGATGCTTCTCTGACCTGCAGAATTCAACAGCAGAACGAGGACAGGCTCCGCCACCAAAATCTGTATCACCATTCATATTGTGGCTTTTTCAACAAATGTTAGCAAAAAATAAAAATGACTATGATATGCATTAAAAGCAATCTAGAGACAATCTGTACATGTTAGTCTAAGCATGCGTATGCTAGAGAAGATCACAGCCAAATATTGTAACATAAAGGAGTGTTGTTCAACTTATGCCCTCACAACACTTTTCTCATCCACAAACTATAGGAATAAACTGATTGTTGCAGGTGCCCTTCTTGTGTTGGGACAGAGCACACTGTCTAGACATTCGCTGGGTGAAGGCACTGCAGAAAACACTGCCTCTTCTTCACGTGTCCTCCACGTAGGTTTGATAATGTTTCAAAGATGATTAAATTCAGAATTAAACACCATTCATCAGATTAATAATGTGAAAAAGCTTTGAATACCATACATATTTCTGCGTAGGTGACTTTCTCTTTGATATAATGATATCCAATCTTTGAAAATTAATGTAACAAAATGCTGAGCAATGTATCTCCATGCACCTGAAAACTGTTTTGCAGTCAAACAGAGCACTGGGGAAATGACTACAGTGAGGAAACATGCTACATCTGTCCGGTGTTAGCAGCTGAACCTGCCAGAATTAGTTACTTGGTATAGTCAAGAGATAACTCTCACATTGTACACTTATCCAACAAGCTAACCTTTTCATGCACAACAAAGAATGTTTCTAGATTGTCTCAAACATGGCAGTCATCCACATATTCAGAACAAATCACTAATACTCATTCCCCAGCAACATGTTAACAGTTGGTACAAAAACCTTTCCTCAAATATTTCCCCAGCAACATGTTACCAGCTAGTACAAAAACTTCTCAAATATTTCCCCTGCAACATGTTAACAGTTGGTACAAAACTTATCCTCAAATATTTCCCCAGCAACATGTTAATAGTTGGTACAAAAAAATTATCCTCAAATATTTCCCCAGCAACATGTTAACAGTTAGCACAAAAACCTTTCCTCAAATATTTCCCCAGCATCATGTCAACAGTTGGTACACAAACTTCTCAAATATTTCCCCTGCAACATGTTCACAGTTGGTACAAAAACTTCTCAAGTATTTCCCCTGCAACATGTTCACAGTTGGTACAACAACTTCTCAAATATTTCCCCAGCAACATGTTCACAGTTGGTACAAAAACTTCTCAAATATTTCCCCAGCTACATGTTAACAGTTAGTACAAAGAATTATCCTCAAATATTTCCCCAGCAACATGTTAACAGTTGGTACAAAAACTTATCCTCAAATATTTCCCCAGCATCATGTTAATAGTTGGTACAAAAACTTATCCTCAAATATTTCCCCAGCAACATGTTAACAGTTGGTACAAAACTTATCCTCAAATATTTCCCCAGCAACATCTTAACAGCTAGTACAAAAATCTCAAATATTTCCCCAGCAACATGTTAACAGTTAGTACAAAAACTTATCCTCAAATATTTCCCCAGCAACATGTTAACAGTTGGTACAAAACTTATCCTCAAATATTTCCCCAGCAACATGTTAATAGTTGGTACAAAAAATTATCCTCAAATATTTCCCCAGCAACATGTTAACAGCTAGTACAAAAATCTCAAATATTTCCCCAGCAACATGTTAACAGTTAGTACAAAAACTTATCCTCAAATATTTCCCCAGCAACATGTTAACAGTTGGTACAAAACTTATCCTCAAATATTTCCCCAGCAACATGTTAATAGTTGGTACAAAAAATTATCCTCAAATATTTCCCCAGCAACATGTTAACAGTTAGCACAAAAACCTTTCCTCAAATATTTCCCCAGCATCATGTCAACAGTTGGTACAAAAACTTCTCAAATATTTCCCCTGCAACATGTTCACAGTTGGTACAAAAACTTCTCAAATATTTCCCCAGCTACATGTTAACAGCTAGTACAAAGAATTATCCTCAAATATTTCCCCAGCTTTAAATTAACAGTTGGAACAAAGGCTTCTCAAACATTTCCCCAGCTACACGTTAACAGTTTGTACAAAGAATTATCCTCTAATGCTTCCCCAGCAACATGTTAACAGTTGGTACAATGATTTCTTCTCTAGCAACATGTTGACAGTTGAGAATTCTCCTCGGATACCTCCCTAGATACATGGCACCAACACTTGACTGCTACTTTCTCCCAAACTTTGTTATCAGTTTGTACTAACATCTGACAACAACTTCTCCCCTAGCAACTATGCATTAACAGTTTGTACTAACATCTGACAACTACTTCTCCCCTAGCAACTATGCGTTAACAGTTTGTACTAACATCTGACATCTACTTCTCCCCTAGCAACTATGCGTTAACAGTTTGTACTAGCATCTGACATCTACTCAGAGTTCCTCCCTCGTAAATGTTTACTGTTGATACCAATTTCTCAGAACACATTTTCTAATACCCTCATTAATGCTATATCTATTACCACTATTAACAAACAGGTTGTTCATGAAACAGGTGAAGATATTTTACAGTCATGTTGAAAGACAAAGTAAATGTTAAAAGAAAACAGGGATGAAATATTCTGACTTGCAAACCAATCAGTTAAAGCAGTTATAAGACATGTATGCCTCCTCAGAGATCAACATGATGATATGAAGATGCAGCTATTAGACCTAGCTGTCATTTGATTAAAACCTGGGACCTTTGGAAAATGCAACATCTAAAACTAACAATATGTTATTCAAATATGGACGGCTTTGGACGGAGATCCTACAATCATAACTGACACAGACTTGAAGTAACAAATGTTCAAATAACCCTTCAAAAGCAACACACATTTCAAAGTGTGTGTAAAGAATAAAGACATGAAACAAAAAATGGAAACTGAAAACCTGAATTGTTAACATTGAACTCCTGACCAATATATATGCAAGATTGTAAGATACAAGGTAACAGCTCTGAGGCAGTTGACCAAGCTCTTGCCTCTACAAGAATGGTGTCAGGATAGCAAGGTGATGGGATCACCTGACTAAGTCCTCACCAAGTCAAACATAACAAGTGGTAAGAATATAGCATCACAGTCTCACTTTGATTCTTACCAGATACATCCTATTTTGGCTTCATTTTCAGCAAAGGATACACCTGATGACATCTGCACTGAGCAGTCTGCCCTTTCAGCATGACAGGGTTGATGATATGTGATACGCCATAACACAACACAAGGAATATACATATATACAATACATGATGGGCGCTATATTCCCAGTAACTCATGATAAAAAAAGGATGCCATAAAGCAGAATGTCCACAAACTATGCTGCCATCTTGGGACTTCATTAAAATGGACGGCTACGTTCTGTCATTGAATATCACAATTCTGTAGTGTTCGTTCTAAATGCTGACAGACGTGTCATATTCCCAGCATGGTATGAATCTGATAGGGCGGCAGTCACGGCACATGAGTGCGTTAGTACCATATTTATCTGACATGTAAATACAGCGTCCTTCTCCTGGAGACCGGACATTTAGAAACATCCACCATGAAAGACCATCACACGTATCACCATGAAAATGACAATACGTCCCTGCCCATTCAATCCAGTACGAAAAAGACTGTCCACTTGTCACATGCCAACCAATGGTAGAGCAGGTAATGATGCTGCATGTCGTCATGGTGACGAAAAGGAGAAGGCTAGGTGGATCCATCTGCTGCATATACTGCGGAAAGTCGACTGTTACAGCGGTCTACAGCTGATAGCTGCAGGAACTGTTGCATATTGGCCTCGTCTTGCCCTGTCATGCTGAACTGTTCAAACCCTGCTGACATCGTTGGTCACCATATCCTGTCACACAATATGAAACATCTCAACACATGACCTGACAAGGTTGAATACACAAACAAACATTACATAATGCATAGGGTACTAGTATATTACATGTGACATACATAGAAACTCAGTAATATGTGATATACATCATACTCATATCTTCATTTTGACAAGCAAACTCAACATTCCCACCCCTGTAAGAGGAGATGGAACAGGAGATATTCTTTCTACAGGCCATTACTTCATATAACACTTCACACTAAAGCATCCAGACACTCACCCTGTTGGCTGACAAATGCCTTCTGCATATCCACAGGCATATTGGCGAACTGCTCCTCAGTAAAGTTCTGGAACGACACACGCTGCGACTGCATGGCTCCCATACGACAGCTGTTGATGTTGGTGAAAGCGTTGGAACCGGGCAAACGGCAACCGCTGAGTGTACTGAGGGTACCCACCCTGGTTTGGCATGTCTGCAGATGAGAAAACCAAAGAAATACCACTAAGTATATATGTCAGGCACACATTCTCCTTTGAAGAATCCACTTGCTAACCATGAAACCTGCTCTTCAGAAAGAAACTTTCTAAGGATAACTTCCTGAGAACTGAAGGGGGTACTTACAAACATGCAAGCTCCTATTTTCACTTCCACTGTGGGGAGCATCTCTGATATGATGTCCCAGCCTTACTGGGGACAGCTCTCTTGTTCTACATGCTCCCTGCATGGTACACCTGGTACACCTGACAAACTTACCCTGCATCCTACCTGCATGGCACGCCTGGTACACCTGACAAACTTACCCTGCATGGTACACCTGGTAGGGCATGACAAACTTACCCTGCATGCTCCCTGCATGGCACGCCTGGTACACCTGACAAACTTACTCTGCATGCTCCCTGCATGGCACACCTGGTAGGGCATGACAAACTTACCCTGCCTGCTCCCTGCATGGCACACCTGGTAGGGTATGACAAACTTACTCTGCATGCTACCTGCACGGTACACCTGGTAGGGCATGGCAAACTTACCCTGCATGCTACCTGCATGGTACACCTGGTACCGTATGGCAAACTTACCCTGCATGCTACCTGCATGGTACACCTGGTAGGGTATGACAAACTTACCCTGCAACCTACCTGCATGGCACACCTGGTAGGGCATGGCAAACTTACCCTGCATGCTACCTGCATGGCACACCTGGTAGGGCATGACAAACTTACCCTGCATCCTACCTGCATGGCACACCTGGTAGGGTATGACAAACTTACCCTGCATGCTACCTGCATGGTACACCTGGTAGGGTATGACAAACTTACCCTGCATGCTACCTGCATGGTACACCTGGTAGGGCATGACAAACTTACCCTGCATGCTACCTGCATGGTACACTTGGTAGGGTATGGCAAACTTACCCTGCATGCTCCCTGCACGGTACACCTGGTAGGGTATGGCAAACTTACCCTGCATGCTACCTGCACGGTACACCTGGTAGGGTATGACAAACTTACCCTGCATGCTACCTGCATGGTACACCTGGTAGGGTATGGCAAACTTACCCTGCATGCTCCCTGCATGGTTCACCTGGTAGGGCATGACAAACTTACCCTGCATCCTACCTGCATGGTTCACCTGGTAGGGCATGACAAACTTACCCTGCATCCTACCTGCATGGTACACCTGGTAGGGTATGACAAACTTACCCTGCATGGTACACCTGGTAGGGTATGGCAAACTTACCCTGCATGCTCCCTGCATGGTACACCTGGTAGGGCATGACAAACTTACCCTGCATCCTACCTGCATGGTACACCTGGTAGGGTATGGCAAACTTACTCTGCATGCTCCCTGCATGGCACACCTGGTACCGTATGGCAAACTTACCCTGCATGCTACCTGCATGGTACACCTGGTAGGGTATGACAAACTTACCCTGCAACCTACCTGCATGGCACACCTGGTAGGGCATGGCAAACTTACCCTGCATGCTACCTGCATGGCACACCTGGTAGGGCATGACAAACTTACCCTGCATCCTACCTGCATGGCACACCTGGTAGGGTATGACAAACTTACCCTGCATGCTACCTGCATGGTACACCTGGTAGGGTATGACAAACTTACCCTGCATGCTACCTGCATGGTACACCTGGTAGGGCATGACAAACTTACCCTGCATGCTACCTGCATGGTACGCTTGGTAGGGTATGGCAGACTTACTCCCTGCATGCTCCCGCACGGTACACCTGGTAGGGTATGGCAAACTTACCCTGCATGCTACCTGCACGGTCCTGCATGCTACCTGCATGGTACACCTGGTAGGGTATGGCAAACTTACCCTGCATGCTCCCTGCATGCATGGTTCACCTGGTAGGGCATGACAAACTTACCCTGCATCCTACCTGCATGGTTCACCTGGTAGGGCATGACAAACTTACCCTGCATCCTGCATGGTACCCTGGTAGCATATGACAAACTTACCCTGCATGGTACACCTGGTGCATGCTCCTGCATGGTACACCTGGTAGGGCATGACAAACTTACCCTGCATCCTACCTGCATGGTACACCTGGTAGGGTATGGCAAACTTACTCTGCATGCTCCCTGCATGGCACACCTGGTAGGGCATGACAAACTTACTCTGCATGCTACCTGCACGGTACACCTGGTAGGGTATGACAAACTTACCCTGCAACCTACCTGCATGGTACACCTGGTAGGACATGACAAACTTACCCTGCATGCTCCCTGCATGGCACACCTGGTAGGGCATGACAAACTTACTCTGCATGCTACCTGCATGGTACACCTGGTAGGGCATGACAAACTTACTCTGCATGCTACCTGCATGGTACACCTGGTAGGGTATGGCAAACTTACCCTGCATGCTCCCGGATGGTGGGTAGCCCTGGTAGGATGTGGCAGGGTATGGGTTGGGTTGCATATTGTTCAGCATGTTGGGGGCGTGTCGGCTGATGGGTGGGAGTGGCCGAGGACTCAACATGCCCTGGGAGGGTCCAGGAGAGTAGCCACCCATGCTGAAATGATAGGCAGAGATAATTAGGTGTCTTCGAAACACACTATATACACTATAACCATTACACTGTAACCGGCAAACAGTTTCCACCCATGTGCAACAAATTCAGGATATACTGTGCATCGTAATGGTTCATACATATACTACCCATCAAGGTTTAGACTCACTTAAAGCACTCACTATATGTTATGCATATAGAGTTACATCGAAGATATATTTCTCCACTAACTTGGGGGAAAACAACTGCAAACCTTAAGCTGATGAATTGCATGAGGATCATGCATCAAATTGCTGAAAAGCATGTGAAATATAGTGCATGTGAACAGCTGCATTTTGGTGTAAAGTTTTGTTAAGAATTCACCAATTTTTACTGAGTTTCATCATTTCTTGAACTCATGACAATAATCTTTTCAACATTACAAATTTGTTTTACAATACATCAGTTCATGTGTAAACAGTACCTTTGAACAGTATGGAATATTTGTCAAAATCTAGATTAGAACAGTTGATTGAAGTAAGTGCCTACATTAAAACTAGTTAGTCTAAACTTTTGATGGGTAGTATATACATACACATTCTTATACAAAAAGATACATATTTGTATCGCTGCACTATGACCCTGTATCCCTCCCTGTTCATGCTGCGAACAGCAATATGACAGTCGTATCACAACATCCTGTAAATAATACAACATTGAAAGGCAAACAATCAGCAACAATCCACTCTGCATAATTCAATAATGCACAGCCAGGTCAGATATTATGACTTCTCAGTCTTTTTTAAGTCAACTTTCTTCACAATCAGGCAGTGCTGGTACCTGTTCTGACCCAGATTTTTTAAGGCCCCCATACACAAATACAAAACTTCCGGGGTCAGTAGTCAGTCCCAATGTACCGGCGCATACCTAAACAGTCATTAGCTGCTATGAAATCTTTTCGCAAAAACATATTTTTTGCTTTGATTCTCTGAGCAAATTATATATAGAAACCCAAGGCCATGCTGACTATTTATACTTCAAAGCTAGAAAGAGAACATTATTTTATCTTTGTGCACAAGGAGGACAAGTAGATCAACATACACTACGTATACATGCTCATCCTGTCTCCATGTTTCCTAGGGGATCTAGCTATTTCACACCACAGTCACTGACACAAGCAATGTCTCTATTGATAAGCTATTTCTGTCTCAAAGTAGGGAGAAGGTCCTCCCCTTTGCTGACAGAGGGATGCACTCCCCCTCACACTGGGAAACTCATCCCACTCACCTGGGTCATGTCACACCTGTCTCATCCTAACAAACCTGTTATACTACCTGTGTAACCACCTGCTGATATCTATGTATAATACTACCTGTAACAGCCACCCTCAACATCCATGTGTAATACCACCCATAACATCCACCTGTAATACTACCCACAACAGTCACCTGTAATACTACCGTATATGACCGTCTATAAGCCGAATTTTGAGGACCAAAAAAAGCAGTCTGTAGAAGGGGGTTGTCTCATCCATGGGTTACGCTTTCGTCAAACTTTTTTCCAGGGGTAAGAAAACAACATCGTATCACTTCGCGTGAACAAACAACAGAAGACGACTTTGTCAGTAGGGACGTCAAATTTGCAATTAAACATCACTAGACAAGATTATTTACCTTTTAAGTTATAAGTTGTTTTTGCTGGGCATTGTATTATTTGCAGGGATTTAGATTACCGTGCGTATTTGTCTCGTACACAAAGCCGGAAATAGCAATCAGCTGTGCACACGTTTCTCGGCGAACAAGTTCAAACATGCACAATAATATAACGGGACGAATTCTGACGCAGTCATCAGTAAAATATAATACAGAATACCATTATTTAACCCAAAGAAATATATCCTAGCATTGTGTTATTTTAGTTACAGTTTTTGCTCTATAAATTAATTAAGATTACCGTGTGTATTTGAGCCGGAAATAGCAATCAGCTGTGCACACGTTTCCGGCGAACAAGTTCAAACATGCACACTAATATAACGGGATGAATTCTGACGCAGTCGTCAGTAAAATATAATACAGAATACTATTATTTAACCCAAAGAAATATATCCTAGCATTGTGTAATTTTATTTACAGTTTTTATGTAAAATATATATAATCAACACTAAGGTTATACGGACCCTCATGAACGTGGTAAGCACATGGAATGGGGTAAAATACGGAAGCCATTTAAATTCACACATTTTTACCGATGTTACTGTAAACTAGCAGTCAATGGAAAACGAGGCGGTAATCAGTTCGTGATTGTTGAATGGGGTAAAATAAGCAAGGCAGTTTGTTGCTACAATAAATATGATATTTAGAGAAGCAAAATATATTATGCATTTTCTGTCAACTACACTTCATTTCGATCCGTGAGTAGACACAATATATATGACAGTGAATTCTTTGAATAATGTGGACCAAAGTTATAATTATTGGTAACTGCCAGTTGTCTATGGTCTGTGTTTGCCGCGATTAGGACCCCATCGTGGGGGATCGACTTATGCACGAAACATACCATTTTGACACTGATTTTAAGGGTCAAGTTTGGGGGTCGTCTTATCCATGGGGTCATCTTATAGATGGTCATATACGGTACCCATAACAGCCACCTGTAATACTACCCATAACAGCCACCTGTTACGCTACCCACAACAGCCACCTGTAATACTACCTATAACAGCCACCTGTAATACTACCCATAAGAGCCACCTGTAATACTACCCATAACAGCCACCTATAATACTACCCACAACAACCACCTATAATACTACCCATAACAACCACCTGTAATACTACCCATAAGAGCCACCTGTAATACTACCCATAACAGCCACCCATAACACTACCCACAACAACCACCTATAATACTTCCCATAAGAGCCACCTGTAATACTACCCACAACAACCACCTATAATACTACCCATAACAACCACCTATAATACTACCCACAACAACCACCTATAATACTACCCATAAGAGCCACCTGTAATACTACCCATAACAGCCACCTGAAATACTACCTATAACAACCACCTCTAATACTACCCATAACAACCACTTGTAATACTACCCACAACAGCCACCTGGAATACTACCTATAACAACCACCTATAATACTACCCATAACAGCCACCTGTAATACTATCCATAACAACCACCTGTAATACTACCCACAACAGCCACCTGTAATACTACCTATAACAACCACCTATAATACTACCCATAACAACCACCTGTAATACTATCCATAACAACCACTTGTAACACTACCCACAACAACCACCTGTCATACTACCCACAACAACCACCCATAACACTACCCACAACAACCACCTGTAATACTACCCATAACAGCCACCTATAATACTACCCACAACAACCACCTATAATACTACCCATAACAACCACCTGTAATACTACCCATAAGAGCCACCTGTAATACTACCCATAAGAGCCACCTATAATACTACCCATAACAACCACCTGTAAAACTATCCATAACAACCACCTGTAATACTACCCACAACAGCCACCTGTAGTACTACCCACAACAACCACCTGTAAAACTATCCATAACAACCACCTGTTATACTACCCACAACAGCCACCTTTAATACTACCCATAACCACCACCTGTAATACTATCCTAAACAACCACCTGTAATACTACCCACAACAACCACCTCTAATACTACCTACAACCACCTTTAATACTACCCATAACAGCCACTTATAATACTACCCATAACAACCACCTCTACTACTACCTACAACCACCTGTAATACTACCCACAACAACCACCTCTAATACTACCTACAACCACCTTTAATACTACCCATAACATCCACCTATAATACTACCCACAACAACCACCTCTAATACTACCTACAACCACCTTTAATACTACCCATAACAGCCACCTATAATACTACCCACAAGAACCACCTGTAATACTACCCACAACAACCACCTCTAATACTATCCTAACAACCACCTTTAATACTACCCATAACAACCACCTTATAATACTACCCACCTATAATACTACCCACAACAACCACCTCTAATACTACCTACAACCACCTTTAATACTACCCATAACAGCCACCTATAATACTACCCACAAGAACCACCTGTAATACTACCCACAACAACAACCTCTAATACTACCATACAACCACCTTTAATACTACCCATAACAGCCACCTATAATACTACCCATAACAACCACCTGTAATATTACCCATAACAACAACATGTAATACTACCTATAACAACCACCTGTAATACTATCCATAACAACCACCTGTAACATTACCCATAACAACATATAATACTACCTATAACAACCACCTGTAATACTACCCATAACAACCACCTGTAACATTACCCATAACAACAACATGTAATACTACCTATAACAACCACCTGTAATACTACCCATAACAACCACCTGTAACATTACCCATAACAACAACATGTAATACTACCTATAACAACCACCTGTAATACTACCCATAACAACCACCTGTAACATTACCCATAACAACAACATGTAATACTACCTATAACAACCACCTGTAATACTACCCATAACAACCACCTGTAACATTACCCATAACAACATGTAATACTACCTATAACAACCACCTGTAATACTACCCATAACAACCACCTGTAACATTACCCATAACAACAACATGTATTACTACCTATAACAACCACCTGTAATACTACCCATAACAACCACCTGTAACATTACCCATAACAACAACATGTAATACTAACTATAACAACCACCTGTAATACTACCCATAACAACCACCTGTAACATTACCCATAACAACAACATGTAATACTACCTATAACAACCACCTGTAATACTACCCATAACAACCACCTGTAACATTACCCATAACAACATGTAATACTACCTATAACAACCACCTGTAATACTACCCATAACAACCACCTGTTACACTACCCATAACAACAACATGTAATACTACCTATAACAACCACCTGTAACATTACCCATAACAACAACATGTAATACTACCTATAACAACCACCTGTAACATTACCCATAACAACCACCTGTTACACTACCCATAACAACAACATGTAATACTACCTATAACAACCACCTGTAATACTACCCATAACAACCACCTGTAACATTACCCATAACAACAACATGTAATACTACCTATAACAACCACCTGTAATACTACCCATAACAACCACCTGTAACATTACCCATAACAACAACATGTAATACTACCTATAACAACCACCTGTAATACTACCCATAACAACCACCTGCACTAATAGCCCCAACAACCACCTGAGAGTGTAGTGAGTGAGGTGATGAAAGACCTCAATGGTACAACAGTACATGTTTAGGCTCCCCTCACCTGTCCTCCTCATTGACCACACTGAGAGTGCCGGTGTTCATGGGACTGCCCTGCATGCTGACTGGAGACTGGTGGCTGCTGACACCTGTGGCAGTACCGCAGCGACTGGAATGTGTGCTGGAGAAGCTGATACCTGCAGAAACAAACACACATGTGACTCCTAATACTTCGTAACACAGGTGTGTCTCCGAATACTTCATAACACAGGTGTGTCTCCGAATACTTCATAACACAGGTGTGTCTCCGAATACTTCATAACACAGGTGTGTCTCCTAATACTTCATAACACAGGTGTGTCTCTGAATACTTCATAACACAGGTGTGTCTCCGAATACTTCATAACACAGGTGTGTCTCCGAAAACTTCATAACACAGGTGTGTCTCAAAATTCTTCATAACAGGTGTGTCTCCGAAAACTTCATAACACAGGTGTGTCTCCGAAAACTTCATAACACAGGTGTGTCTCAGAATACTTTAAAACACAAGTGTGTCTCAGAATACTTCGCAACACAGGCTTATCTCAAAGTACTTTACAATGTAGGTGTGTCTCAAAATACTTCACAACACATATGTATCTCAAAATACTTCATGACACAGCTGTATGTCAGAATACTTCACAACACATCAGTATGTCAATATACATGTGACACACTGGTTGTCATGTAACAAATTTGGTGTCATTATACTGTGTATCCCTATACAGAGTGTTTATGAGTCACCTGTTAAAAGGGCATAACTCTGTAAGTTATCTTATTAATTTGAATAAATCACATGAACAATGAAAGATAAAAAAGCGATAAGACACTAAGGATCATTTATGAGATCATTCTATGCCAAGAAAAACATGAGAATACCACATGCAGTAATGCAGGGATCTTTTCTTAACTGTTTCCTCAGCAATGTCAAGGTCAAAACGCCATGATACAGTGACCCCAATAACAATTGACCTGTGGCCAATTAAAGGGAACTGAATATGTTGAAAGTGAAAATTTCTTAAAGAAGATCAGGTTGTTATTTTGTAATTAATGCAAACAAAATTCATATTTTAACTGATACACTGTCATGATTTCTAAACTTCAAACTGACCAATAGCTTCTGTTCTTTTTCTAACTCCAGTTTCCTCCAAAACAAATGATGGATTGTAATGGCACATTGTTAATTTTTAAAACTGCCATGAAATAGTATCGGCATACATCATGAACAAAGTATCAGGGATAGTTGTATTGTGACATCCCTGTGTCATGTTGAGGGCTGGTTGTTTCACTCACAGTTATCTTACTTAAATTTACTTACTGATTGCCTTCAATTATTCAGATACAGTCGTCAAGGTTTTTAGACTAATTGTTGACAGAAGAGGTATTAGAATGCTTATTTCACTTGTCCTGGACTGATTGTCACAAAACTAGAGCATTATACTGACTGACTGACTGAGTTTAGGTTTACGCCGCTTTTAGCAATATTCCAGCAATATCACGGCGGGGGACACCAGAAATGGGCTTAACACATTGTGCCCATGTGGGGAATCGAACCCGGGCCTTCGGCGTGACGAGCCAACGCTTTAACCACTAGGCTACCCCACCGCCCTAGAGCATTATAACAGAACTCAGATTAAACTAGTCATTGAGGACTAGATTACTGAATTCTTACATATCCTCGGCAAATATTGGTAATCTTTGGCTAGCATACTAGTATGAATTTGTAACACTGCAGACAAACGACAAGAGCGACAACTAGTTGTGAGGAAGATAGCACCAAACCTGGCCTGACTATGTCAACTATACACTATAATAAGTAGCAATATGTCGGTTGAAGCAGATATAGTATTCCAGGATCAATCAAGTTGGGGCCATCCTTCATTCAATAACAATACAATTTAGTCAAACAACTGTACCCAACATGCAATATTTTGCCTTCAATCAATATTCACTGATAAAATGTTGCTTTTAAGCATGCTATTCTCATACCAGATTTCCCAAAATATAATAATGTTTTCAAATTATCAAAGGCTGACATGGGTATTATCTAAATCTCCAGCTTAGAGGGTAGGAAAGTGAAGAGTCGTTAGCTATGAAAGATAAGAAACGGTTTAACATATGACAGGTAGTTGTCTATTTGCCATATTACGTGACTGACAAATGGCATCGACCTTACACTATGCATACAGCTCCAACTTCAGCTGGTGTTTAGCGGTCATTATGTACCTGCCTCTCCATTACCCCGACAATTGTTCTCATTGAGACCGGGGACCCAGCTCCGACCAACTACAGGTATATCCTAGCTACGCTCAACTGTTGTTTGTACATTAGATTACAAGCTAGATGGGTTTTAGGGTGACTGACTTAACCAGCAAAGCTGGGTGTTTGAGTCAGCACTGGAAGATCTTGAGGTTGGAATGTGAGGAGGCGATTGTCATGTTTGTCCATACATTCTTTGATATATCACTGGCTGGTCTTTGCAATATCAGGACACATGGACTTACTAATAGCTGCTTCATTATTCCTAAAACAATCTACAACTGCCACTTACTGGACAGAAAATAACAAATATGTTTCCACATCTCTTTTAAGACATAGGTTTCCTTGACAACATAAGACAAATTTAACAACATTTGTAACAACTTTTCAGAATTGTATTATCAACCTACAACTCACAAACATATCCTGAACACAACTGATATATATACAGTCACTGAAAAGACATGAATGCACTTCAAAACAAATATCATATGGGTAGATACAGGCAATATATATACTGACATTAACACTCCAGCCTTAAATGTGTGCGTTGCTACAGACCGCTGTGTGTTACATATCGATAGATACAGACAATATATATCTTCACATTAAGACTAGCACTTGCCTGTGTGTGTTACTAAAGACTGTTGTGTCTTTCATATTGAAAGAAATATACAATACATCCCTGATATCAATCTATTCTTGTGTTACCCTATGCGGTGCATCTGTTTAACATAACTGACACATATCGTCCAGAGAATTGAATTGCGTTTGCTTATTGTCTAATATGAAACTGATTTTATATGTGGGATTAACATGGATACATTCTTGGGTACAAGTACGACTTTCCAGGGTACATGTGAGTTAGTTACTCGGGTACATGTGTGACCTTCTTGGGTATATGTGTGACCTTCTTGGGTACATGTGTGACTTTCTTGGGTACATGTGTGACATTCTTGGGTATATGTGTGACCTTCTTGGGTATATGTGTGACCTTCTTGGGTACATGTGTGACTTTCTTGGGTATATGTGTGACTTTCTTGGGTACATGTGTGACCTTCTTGGGTACATGTGTGACCTTCTTGGGTACATCTATGACCTTCTTGGGTATATGTGTGACTTTCTTGGGTATATGTGTGACCTTCTTGGGTACATGTGTGACCTTCTTGGGTACATCTATGACCTTCTTGGGTATATGTGTGACTTTCTTGGGTATATGTGTGACTTTCTTGGGTACATGTGTGACCTTCTTGGGTATATGTGTGACCTTCTTGGGTATATGTGTGACATTCTTGGGTACATGTGTGACCTTGGGTACATGTGTGACATTCTTGGGTATATGTGTGACATTCTTGGGTACATGTGTGACTTTCTTGGGTATATGTGTGACATTCTTGGTTACATGTGTGACCTTCTTGGGTACATGTGTGACTTTCTAGGGTACATCTATGACCTTCTTGGGTATATGTGTGACTTTCTTGGGTACATGTGTGACTTTCTTGGGTACATGTGTGACATTCTTGGGTACATGTGTGACTTTCTTGGGTACATGTGTGACTTTCTTTGGTACATGTGTGACTTTCTTGGGTACATGTGTGACGTTCTTGGGTCCATGTGTGACTTTCTTGGGTACATGTGTAACTTTCTTGGTTACATATGTGACTTTCTTGGTGACATGTGTGACTTTCTTGGTTACATGTGTGACTTTCTTGGTTACATGTGTGACTTTCTTGGGTACATGAGTGACGTTCTTGGGTACATGTGTGACTTTCTTGGCTACATGTGTGACTTTCTTGGTTACATGTGTGACTTTCTTGGGTACATGTGTGACTTTCTTGGTTACATGTGTGACTTTCTTGGTTACATGTGTGACTTTCTTGGTTACATGTGTGACTTTCTTGGTTACATGTGTGACTTTCTTGGGTACATGTGTGACTTTCTTGGTTACATGTGTGACTTTCTTGGTTACATGTGTGACTTTCTTGGTTACATGTGTGACTTTCTTGGTTACATGTGTGACTTTCTTTGGAACAAGTGTGACATTCTTGGTTACAAGTGTGACTTTCTTGGGTACATGTGTGACTTTCTTGGTTACATGTGTGACTTTCTTGGTTACATGTGTGACTTTCTTGGTTACATGTGTGACTTTCTTTGGAACAAGTGTGACATTCTTGGTTACAAGTGTGACATTCTTGGTTACATGTGTGACTTTCTTGGGTACATGTGTGACGTTCTTGGGTACATGTGTGACTTTCTTGGGTACATGTGTGACTTTCTTGGGTACATGTGTGACTTGGAGTCTTTTCTTGGTTACATGTGTGACTTTCTTGGGTACATGTGTGACTTTCTTGGTTACATGTGTGACTTTCTTGGTTACATGTGTGACTTTCTTGGTTACATGTGTGACTTTCTTGGTTACATGTGTGACTTTCTTGGGTACATGTGTGACTTTCTTGGGTACATGTGTGACTTTCTTGGTTACATGTGTGACTTTCTTGGTTACATGTGTGACTTTCTTGGGTACATGTGTGACTTTCTTGGTTACAAGTGTGACATTCTTGGTTACATGTGTGACTTTCTTGGTTACATGTGTGACTTTCTTGGGTACATGTGTGACTTTCTTGGGTACATGTGTGACTTTCTTGGTTACATGTGTGACTTTCTTGGGTACATGTGTGACTTTCTTTGGGGTACAAGTGTGACATTCTTGGTTACATGTGTGACTTCTTGGTTACATGTACATGTGTGACTTTCTTGGGTACATGTGTGACTTTCTTGGTTACAAGTGTGACATTCTTGGTTACATGTGTGACTTTCTTGGGTACATGTGTGACGTTCTTGGGTACATGTGTGACTTTCTTGGGTACATGTGTGACTTTCTTGGGTACAAGTGTGACATTCTTGGTTACATGTGTGACTTTCTTGGTTACATGTGTGACTTTCTTGGGTACATGTGTGACTTTCTTGGGTACATGTGTGACTTTCTTGGTTACATGTGTGACTTTCTTGGGTACATGTGTGACTTTCTTGGGTACAAGTGTGACATTCTTGGTTACATGTGTGACTTTCTTGGGTACATGTGTGACTTTCTTGGGTACATGTGTGACTTTCTTCTTGTGTTACAAGTGTGACTTTCTTGGTTACATGTGTGACTTTCTTGGGTACATGTGTGACTTTCTTGGGTACATGTGTGTACATGTTCTTGGGTACATGTGTGTCTTGGGTACATGTGGGTACTGTTCTTGGGTACAAGTGTGACTTTCTTGGGTACATGTGTGACTTTCTTGGGTACATGTGTGACTTTCTTGGGTACATGTTGACTTTTGGGTACATGTGTGACTTTCTTGGGTACATGTGTGACTTTCTTGGGTACATGTGTGACTTTCTTGGGTTACATGTGTGACTTTCTTGGGTACATGTGTGACTTTCTTGGGTACATGTGTGACTTTCTTGGGTACATGTGTGACCCTCTTGGGTACATGTGTGACTTTCTTGGGTACATGTGTGACTTTCTTGGGTACCTGTGTGACTTTCTTGGGTACATGTGTGACTTTCTTGGGTATGTGGGTGATTTTCTCTTGTACATTAGTTACTTACTTGGGTACATGTGTGACGTACTCGGGTACATATGTGACTACATGTATGACTTATTTGGCTACATGTGTGATTTATTAGGGTGTACATGAGTTACTTACTCGGGTACATGTCAGATGCGGTGCCTGGCATGGATGCGTGGGGGGAGCGGCCAAGTCCACTGTCTGTGTGCTCCATGGGAGAACCCTCGGGTCTCAGTGGCTGGATCGAGAGGCAGTCATTGAGGAGGTCAGGTGGTGGCATCTCCGCCTCCTTCTTCAGCTGAAGAGGAACAACAAATGCATATGAGTTAGTGAGTGAGTGAGTGAGTGCTGCAATTAACTATTCATATGTGGCCATGAGTAATTATATCTGTATGAGGCAAACCAGTGACTAAAAGCATCAACAAAAAGCATTGTCACTAAGGTGACATAATCCCCCGCCGCAAATTATGAAATCAAACTTAAAAAGTAATGAAAGTGAATGTCGTAATTTAAGATGAAGTTAAATGTCAACAAGAACATGACCAATCAACCTCTCTTGATATCTTGTTCTGTAGTTGTTCAAACGCACAAATATTTTCAAGACTGACTTTGACCTTGACATGAATGTCTTAGTGTATGAAATATGCAAAAATAGTAATAATTGCTTATTGAAAAACATTCAAGTGAAATCTTGAAAGTCTATGGAGAAAATCCAGTGAACTGTTCTTGAGATATCTCGCTGACAATCTTTACACGCAGGTTAACATGCTGAAATCTTCAAAGTGTCGCTGTGACCTTGAAAATTAAGTGAAGGTCACCAAACTCAACTGGACCTTGCAGCTTCCCCACATGAAGCTTGGTGTCAAATATGAATTAAGTCCAGATAATGGTTCTTGAGATATCTCACTGACAATCTTAACATGCAGGTTAACATGCTGAAATCTTCAAAGTGTCGCCATGACCTTGAAAATTAAGTGAAGGTCACCAAAATCGACTGGGACCTGTGCCTTCCCTAGGTAAAGCTTGGTGTTGAATATGAAGAAAATCCAGTCAACGGTTCTTGAGATATCTCGCTGACAAGGGTAACACGTTAAAGTCCCCTTGTGACCTTGAAATGAAGGCCAAGGTCACCAAACCTGACTGGGACCTTTCTTATACTGTGATGAACTTAGGTACCAAATATGAAAAGAATCTAGTTAACGGTTCTTAAGATAGTCCAATTCGTACGGACGGACGGACGGACGGACGGACGGACGGAGCCTAATACCATAACCCCCGCTTCGCGTTAAACGCGAGGCGGGGGATAATAACATAAACCAATGGGTATGAAGATATGCAACCAACCATTGCTGACCCCAGCCCTGCTGAAGGACCAAAGATCAACGGACCAATGAAAACAAAGAACATCAATATAAGCACTCATCATACAAGTATTCATAGGTCAAAGAGGTGCTAGGTTCTCGGAAACAACATTTTTGTCATCTAGCTCCAGTTCAAATTTCATTTTCATGAAAGAAAAAAAACGTATATTATCAATAAATAAAAATTTCCACACCACTGCCTACATTAGTTAGAAAAAATTCCCAACAATTGCTTACTGTCAAAACACAAACCCATTAATTTCCACTGAACATCAACGGGAACAATGCCATACAATTACAACACCAAACAATAAATGACACTGTGCATGATTTATGTGATCGTTAAATTTTCCCTCATCACTATATGGCTAAAATATTGCTGGTGATATAATTTCTCAGTCACTCACTCACAGGAATCAGGATTGCTGTCTACCCACTGTATGCCATGTTAAAGAGGCAGCAATATTGAGCAGATATCTGTGTGAAGCTGCCAACTGCTGCCGAGTAACGTGTTTGTTTGTTAGTGCAATCAAGTGCCATGAAATAAACAAAGAGTAATTCTGAGGCTTGCCATCAATCAGTCAAAAAACTTTTGTAAAGAAAGATAGGAATGCAAGTAGAAAAGGCTAGAATGGGTAATGACCCAAAGTTGTTACAATATTGGGTTTTTACAATTTTACAATCTTGTAATGCATTTGGTAACACCCACCCACCAACACGCACGCACGCACGCACGCACGCACGCACGAACGCACGCACGCACGCACCAACACACACACACACAAAGCTGTAAGGTTGTTGTCTTGAATACAAAGCCCAATAGGTTAGCACCTAATCTTGACAAATACCTACTTCTGTACTCAACGAAAGGATTGACATGTCTTCAAGCAATATGGTCCACAGAATCAAACAATAGTTATTTTCAGTTATTGATACTTTGATATGTGAACAAGAACACGATTTCCATGAATATATTGTACAGACATTGCCACAAAGAAGCTGTATATCTAAGGCAATAAAAACAGACAAGTCTGACTTTGCTTTTAATGAATACTTATCATAAATCCCTCATTTGGCACTTTAGCACTTGTGTACAAGAAGGTAAGACCTCATTCTTTAATTGACCATCCATCAAGCAGGCAATCTTTGGGACAGGCAGCAACCAACAAGCCAATGTCGAGAGCCATCGCCTACAATCTTGGCATTTGTCCAGCTGTAGTAATTCATGACTGCAGCAGGTACCCTCAGTCTGCCATCTCTCAGTTACAGAGTGGCAACACGATCACAAATTAAGTAAAGTCACCAGTTCCTTAATAAATTTTGGAGCCATTTTTATTTACTTTGCTTTTCATGAGGAGCATGAAGGCAGGGTAATTTATTTGGTTGGCCATTCTCTGCCTTGATGGATCCTTGCCAAGCAAAACTTGTTAAAAACAAACAGAAATCTGAAAACACTGCTTAACATTTTTACACAAACTGTGATATTTCAAAAGAGACGGGGAAAATAATCACACTGGCAGAAATATTAATCATCATTCCCAAAGTAAATTATCTTGTTTTTATTCACACCCATAAAACCTGTCAGTTAAACCTTGAATATATTTCCAATATTCTCAGACAACCTGTGTATTAGTAACTACAGGCTAGAGGTACAACAACATATAATTTCTCAGTATTTTATACCATTTTCCCCTAAAACAATTCAAGTGACAGTTTAACTATTAAGATTGGCAAACCACAGCATCAACTAATTAACAGTGATTTCTGGTCTGGAAAGAACCCAAGACAACTTTACTTAGAGAAATCTAAAAATATACTTCCAGGTAAAAAATGAACACCATGTAATATTAGCAAGGTTTCCAGAAAGAGCATCAGGTTGGGTTACCTTCATCATGTATGCGACTTCAACCTGCTGACTTGTTAAGGAGGCCCTGTCAAGCTAGAGAAATAAACGTCAGGGTTTGGCTTTGTACAAATAACTCCTGACAGTTGAAATGGGAAGAGTATACATGGATGTGTTCGGCCCATTTCATTACAACCTAACTGCCTTATGGCATTCAGTCTGTTCTGATGATGGGATATTCCAAGTATTTGAATAAAACAGGATGGTGCTAATAACTTGTTGAGATTCTGTTAGACTGACAGCTTACTGTGTCAGTATTAAGTCAATGAGTAGCATCAGTTGGGAGGAAACCACTTTTGACATAGATCATTATACTTATGGACGAGCAAATACTTTAGCTTGAGTTGTTAAAGCTTTCAAATTTATGACAGTCAACAACTATTATTGTGCTGTCAACCAGAATCACATGCAGAACAAAAATCATTTTCGTTGCCTAACATTTTCAAAAAGTGAACCCAATTATTAGTGTGACAATTCCATAAACTACTTTGAGAATATTCCAGCAATATCACAGCGGGGGACAACAGAAATGGGCTTCACACATTGTGCCCATGTGGGGAATCAAACCCGGGTCTTTGGCGTGACGAGCCAACGCTTTAACCACTAGGCTACCCCATCAGAGGGTCTGTACCCTGGTGGGGAATCGAACCTGGCTCTTTGGCATAATGAGCGAATGCTATAACCACTTGGCTACCCCACCACCCCAGTTTGATAGAGGATAGGGTAAGTGGTTTGGAGGAAATTGGGGAGGGTCGCCTGAGTCTCAAGAGGAGAGTTCATAAAGATAATACATTTTTGGTGAGGTTCATAAACAACTGTATAAAGACAGTGTGTGTGTGTGTGTGTGTGTGTGTGTGTGTGTGTGTGTGTGTGTGTGTGTGTGTGTGTGCGTGTGCGTGTGCGTGCGTGCGTGCGCGTGCGTGTGTGTTGTGTCCATCCAAAACTATGAGGAGATTAAAGAAATTGAAATGGGTCATTGTATTCAGTGTATTAGTGCACCGACTCACTCACCCACCCCTACAATAAATGGTCGATGGGGACTGACATTTTAACCACACTTATTAACCCGACTTTTGAACCCAAGTCTTTGTGATCACACTGAAAGCAACCGCTGACCTCACTTAGACATGGGGCAGTTGATGTCAGACATTACACAACTTGGTGTTTATATTATTCACACATACTTAACATACATAAACACATACCACCTCTTTAAGCCAGCCTACCATATCACGTTGCTGGTCTCTCTGGCACAATTGCCTCTTAAACATTTTTCAATGTCTTGCTAATATGTCATCCATGGGTTGTCGTCATTTACAAACATACCAGGGTCACCATGCGGCCACTCGACATTATTGTGTGGAAGAAGAATCAATTTAAACCTAACTGTATATCTGACTTGGAATTCTGGGCCTGTCAAGAGACCACTGAATGTATATTTAAATCTGTAATGGGAATTCTTTGCCGTGTCATTATGGTGAGGATTCACAAGCATCATGGAAAAATCTCTTTCTCCAAACAAGGTACAGATATTAATATCAGCGGTACACGCACATATACAACACTTGGAATGTGTAAATGCCAATGTCCAATTACTTGTGAAAATGATGTTCAGACATATGACACACTGATTGTTGTTGGAATTCTGTTGTGGATTAGTGAGTTCTTAACATTGTTGAAAGTAGATCATGTCATTTACCTGTTTGTATCCCAATTTCCAATTTGTCCAAATAATCCCACATTCTTTGTTTTCCACACATGAAATGGCTTCAATCATGCTAAAAGTGTTGAAAAACCAAACTCACTCACTCACTGAAAATGGGTTAGTTTGGACCTAGTTAAGAGACCTATTACTTTTTACTGTTTACATCTACAGTGTATTTCTGTGATAATGTAAATATTATTGTTCATAGACAGCATGCAATCCACAATGTATTTTCCGGAAACCCCTCGAAGGACTGGTATTGTCATTAGACAATTACACATTACTTAGTCCATCAATAGTTGGACTAAAGTCGCATAAATCTTCTGTAA